AATTTTCCACCATTGCAATATGTCTGTGTTTTTATTACACCGAGGCATAGAATAATATTTTTGAAGCTCCTGCATCCCTACTCCCGTCAAAACAAAGTTATTCTTTATCTTAGACTATTTAGCACAGAATGACTTACTTATTGATTTTCAGGTAGTCATTCAATTTGCGATCTGTCGTTATTGCAGAATTGCCTTTATTTTCCGCCGCCATTAGAGATCATGGATTGTGTTTTTAAAGTATTTATGAATGCAATGTTTTGTTTATCTGTGCTTAATAGTCTGAATTCTTTCTGAATATGTTGTATTATGAATGAAATTCTCAAGTATGCAGTCGGCAGAAATATTTACCTGCGAGACTCTCGCACGAGACACGAGAAGTCTTGCACGAGACTCGAAACGAGACCAATTAAAGTCTCGTCTCGTCTCGTCTTGTTCGAGTCTTGTCTCGAGTCTTGTCTCGACAACTAAACGAGACCATGCGTGAATCTCGCGGTCACCACTGTTGGATTCTGTCCAAAAAAGGGCAATTCGTCTCGTGACTGATGCCTCGCTCACGAACTCACTCACTTCTCTGAAACACCGTAGAAAAGTTGGCGATCTGGCTCAATTTTATAGATATCTTCATGGACGATGCTCTTCTGAAATATTAACATTTGTTTCTCCCTTGGGCCTCGCACCCCTTCGTGGTCATTTTGGAGACCTGCAGAACATGTCTTTCCAAAGACTCGTTTATCCAACGAACAGCATGGCTCTGGGATACATTGCCAAGGAAGGTGTTCCCCGAGGCATATAACCTCCAGAAATTTGAGAAGAACACCAATTATTACCTTATTTCTCTTGGTTCTTACGTGTTCTCTGAACATTACAGGATATCCCTTTTCGTGGGAACCAGAAAATTAAAACGAAATGAACATTCGGAATGGACTGTTTTGAATATTCTGGGAATATCCTAGTATATTGAGAGGGAAGAATATTAAAAAAAGCTTGCTCCGGTGGAGATGCGAACCTAGTATCTTGTGACTGAATTTTTACGAACCTGTTTTAAAATTGTTTATTTCTCTTCATATTGTATAACATCACATAGTGCAAACACCTTTATGTATACAGAGACTGTATACAGAGCATCTTCTGTATGTAGATGGTCCTCCGCGTGGTGCAGAGGTGGCTGGTGTTGGCCAAGGAATGTGAGTGTATATATATGTGAGGTGTTAGTCACAGAGGCCTGTGAGCTGATCAATCACTATCAGTGGTGGGTAGGTTCATCTTGGTGGTAGAAAAAAATTAAAATTCCGAAAAAAAACCTCCCTATTGTTTGGCTCGGCCAGACGTACCGACACGCCGCGCCCGATTTTGAGTGTGAGGCGAATCGTCGTGCCCGTCCGAGTTCAATGTCAGTTCGTCAGAGTGAACCTGACATTACGAATTTTTACGAACCTGAAACCTTACCACTTCGCCACAAACCGTACCCTAATAACACAATTATATTCCTGTCGGGACATTCAGGACGCCCATAGGACGTTCGAATTTGGTACGTCTCTGGGACGCACAAATGTCCCACTTGAGAACTAACTAGGGACGTCCTTGAGGGATGTCCCTGGGACAACTATCGAATACCTAAATCTACAGTATTCCTCATCAAGCACTATAGAGGACATCCTCAGGACACCCGTAGGACAACCTATAAGTAACGCTGGGGATATCAATTGGATGTTCATAGGATGTCCCAGGGACGTACGAATCATTCTCGAATTTGAATTTTTCTGGGTCCCACTAGGACCAGATCTTGCATATCTGATGAGGACATCCAGTTGAGTTGATGATCCGTGTCCGTGTCCCAATAGATCCTGAAAAAGTTTCCCATGGATGTCCAATGGTCTTACGTGGAGGACATTGACGGGGAGTATTTATAGCCTACGAGCAATCATTCGTCGGCAAGGTGTAAGTTAACGTCCTCGCAGGGACAACATATCGAAAGTACCGACTGAGACGTCCGTAGGACGTTATTTCTAGGACATTGGATAAGTACAGTTCATGTAGCAATTGGGACATCCGACGGATATACCTTAGGGACATTCGAAGGATGTCGCTAAGGGACATTTCGATTGTTATACGATCTTGGAAATATTGAGGGTGTCTGTGCAGAGATATTTGAAGGAGTGTACCTACTATCAGGGACATTTGATGGTTGTCTAGAAGGGACATTATATAACTCATGCCAGAATATGTACTACTTGGGACATCCGAATGGATGTCCCTAAAGAAACGTTTAAAATCATATCCCATCAGGGACACGCCAAGGACGTCCTTGCATAGACATTCTACAATATGTACCACGTTGGACGTCTGAGCACGGGTGCTATTTCTAGAACATTTGAATTTATGTATCAGCTGGGACATTCCGTGGACGTCCTTGCTCGGACATTGCATGAGATGTACGGGATGAGACGTCCCAAGGACACTTATTTTTGGTCCGGGACATTCGGACTTGAATTGTATCAAATAGGGACGTCCCTATAGGACGTTGTGTGCTTTTAGGGATGAAATGTTCATAGAATATTGTTTGCAGAATGAGAATATTCTATGATGATCATTCTGAGAACATTCTATTAGAATATTCTGAAATAAGTATTTGAACGTTGTCAGAATATTCTATGAATATTCTGTGCTGTCTGGGTAGGTGTGAAGGGGCTGATTATAACCCTGTATGGGTAACTTAGTTGATATATTATCAGATAGAATCATAGAACGATCAATTGAGTAGATTACAATAATTATAGGTATAGTTATTGAATTTCATATTTACTTTCACTAGACTATGATTAACGGTTATAGCATAGATTAGGTCGTTAATCTATGGTTATAGTATCGACCGAATTTTCTTTTGTGGATTTGACAACACTGTTGTAGATTATCTTATGTTTATAGTGTAGTCTGATTTGCATTTCACCGGTTAGTGTTGGTCCGAACTCACGATAATATTATTAATTCATACCTAGACACGCATTTTCACCTGTTTTATTGATTTGATATACCTATATAATCATACCATTTGATCAATAATAAGTCGTAACTTTGAATGATTATATTGTTTTGTGCCTATTTTGAAAAATATCAATTTGGAAGATGGATGAATTCAAAAAAGGATGGTTTAGTGAAGTAAACGAAATGTGGGCTGGACAGTGTTTTTCATTGGAAGTAGAAAAAGTTTTGCACCAGGAGAAGTCGGAATTTCAAGATATTTTGATTTTCGAATCGTAAGTTTTCCAATACAGAGTCTTCAAAAATTATCTTCCTATATATATGATATTGTTATAACCATTTTTATTATCATCCCCATTATTATAATTATTATTATTATCATTATCATTATCTTCATTGTCAATAATTATGTCAAATAAAGCTACCCCAGACAGCACGCGAATATTCTCAGAATATCCTTACAAACTGCGGTGATGTCATCTTGTAGAATATTCTGAGGAATATTCATAGAATGTCCTTTATTAGGATGTTGCGAATATTTATGGAATGTTCCAAGCGAATATTCTGATAATATATATTCCTTGAGAATATTCTGATTACATTCTGAAAAAACGTTTCTATATGAGCTTCTGAAATGAAATATTCTAGAATGACAATAACGGTCAAATTTACTTATTTCAGAATATTCTGATAGAATGTCGTCGTCCTAGGTCGTAATCATATATAATATTTTCATCCTGCGACCAATATTTTATGTTCATTCAATTCCACATATCCTGTGAATATACAGAATCATATCAAATTATGATATTTGATGTTATCTTGTAATAATATACGAAGTGTTCCCCGAATTTTTCAATTTCCTTCCTATAATATATACAGGGTGTTCCCATATATTATGACCCCTTACTGCTTTAATTTCGCTCATGACATTGTCATTCGCGAAATTATAAGGCAACAAGCTGTCATAACAATCGCCGAATATTTCCGGCAAAATATAGTATCACCTGCCCTAACAACACGGGATCTTGCTGGTACCTACATCCCGCTAAGGTCTTACAAATGTCCCAATGTTTCAGACTTAGGTACGATATCCCAGAGATGTTTCTCTTGGGACATCCATCAGATGTTTTCATTGGATGTTCCAGAAACATCCCATTTGACCTCTTTTTATAAACAATATCATGGTTCCATATCTGCTAATAATGATTGACATGATTGAACAGTTCAAACAATTGTGACATTTGAATTGAAACATTGAAAAGTTGATGAAAAATGGAAATCAAAACTGTATGCGTACATATACTTATACCTATACCAAAGCCGGCTAATTTCATCGATAACAAATTGAAATAATTGTACTAAATATTCCTCAATAAGATTATAAACGACAAAATCAAAATATATCTCTTCAAGTCTTCATCATATTTATTGCTGAATTTATTTGTTATACCAGCCGATAGATGGCGGTACAACTACGTTGCTAAGAGTTACTAACAGCCGTCGGCCCAGCGCCAACGAATATGAGCCTCAAACAACTGTTATCATCTTCCATTAGTTATTGGACCGCACCGACCTCATATTTTCGGATTCGGATTGTTAATTACTTGATATCTGGAAATTGGTCGGCCATTTTCAGGATTTCAGATTGAAATTAATTCATACCTTGTCATCCATTACTGTCATCAAACAAAAACCATCCTATATAAAAGTTTCTTTAAGATGTTCCATATCAAGTACCCTGAATGTCTCTGGTACATCCCGTATCATCCCACAAACATTCTGATGGGATGTTTATAAGACATCGCAAATGCTGACACGGGTGTTGCCAGCAACATCCCAAGAATGTCCCAAGGAAAATAGAGCTTTTCCAGAGATGTTCCTATCATCCCATATGGATGTTTCTACGACGTCTTACAGATGTTATTGTGTTATTAGGGTGTGGTATAACATATCATCAATATACCTCACAAATCGCACCACGAATTTGTACAAAGCTTTATCCAATTTTGGGTTTTCAGAAAAAACAACGGGACGGTTCTGGTTTTGGACGGCATCATCCAATGTTCCCAGAAAGACGAATTCTCTTACCAGGAGATGATTTCTTTTCTACCCCTCTGTGCCCATCCCAACCCCCAAAAAGTGCTAATCGTTGGAGGAGGGGATGGTGGGGTGGCTCGCGAAGTCCAGAAACATCCTCTAGTCAAAGAAATCATACAAGTAAGACCAATATTTCCATCAATTGAACTTGTTCAATGTTCATCTCTACTAATATTATAAATATGAATGTAAATACGTTTGTTATGCTTTCACACCAAAACTACTCAACCGATTATCATAAAGCTTATTATATTCTTAGATGTTAAATTTTTAATGAAAAGAAGAATTACGGCGGATACAAAAATTGATTGTGGTAGGCTTGTTTGTTGGACACCAAATATCCGACGATCAGACATGAAACTCTATAGGTACGTATCGGTACCTTTATTAGATATTAATTATTAGAATACGTCATTTGAGACGCGTAAGTCTCGGATTATTTAGATGATGCAATGAAAATGACAATAAATATCTAGTCTTACATCAAGTAAGCACGTCGAAGGCACAAATTCATTATTGCATGGGAGATACCCTTCAGTTTTTCGCTATTCAGTGATTTGACAACGAATGACATTGACGTTTCAGTCTTCTGCGCAACCAAAATGCACGAATTCAATACTACCTGAATTGGTCCATCTAGACTAGGCTGCTAACGTGCTTTTTTCTTCGAACTTTCGCGGAAAGAGTTCTTCATATTCTCTTGAATTAATAAAATACAACTTCTATATCATTTCCTCAGGTGGAAATCGACGAGAAAGTCGTGTCGGCCAGCAAAAAACACCTGCCCTTCATGGCCAAAGGCTTCGACTCCCCGAAGGTGACCTTGAACATCTGCGACGGCTTCGAGTACATGCGCAACCACAAGAACGAATTCGACGTCATCATCACCGACTCCTCGGACCCCATCGGACCTGCTGTGAATCTCTTCACCGAAAACTATTATCGGCTGCTGAAGGAAGCCTTGAAACCGGGCGGTGAGTTTTACTACCTTCCTCCTTCCTCCTTCCTCCTTCCTCCTTCCTCCTTCCTCCTTCCTCCTTCCTCCTTCCTCCTTCCTCCTTCCTCCTTCCTCCTTCCTCCTTCCTCCTTCCTCCTTCCTCCTTCCTCCTTCCTCCTTCCTCCTTCCTCCTTCCTCCTTCCTCCTTCCTCCTTCCTCCTTCCTCCTTCCTCCTTCCTCCTTCCTCCTTCCTCCTTCCTCCTTCCTCCTTCCTCCTTCCTCCTTCCTCCTTCCTCCTTCCTCCTTCCTCCTTCCTCCTTCCTCCTTCCTCCTTCCTCCTTCCTCCTTCCTCCTTCCTCCTTCCTCCTTCCTCCTTCCTCCTTCCTCCTTCCTCCTTCCTCCTTCCTCCTTCCTCCTTCCTCCTTCCTCCTTCCTCCTTCCTCCTTCCTCCTTCCTCCTTCCTCCTTCCTCCTTCCTCCTTCCTCCTTCCTCCTTCCTCCTTCCTCCTTCCTCCTTCCTCCTTCCTCCTTCCTCCTTCCTCCTTCCTCCTTCCTGAAGACAAATTTGTGGAGATGACTTTGTGTGTCTTGTTTATGAATCTATTCACTCCACTTTGAGATACCATGGACTTTTACCATAGATTAAAAAACTTCCTGTTTCATTCCAGGTATCATTAGTTCTCAAGCTGGCACAGTATGGACAGACCTACCAATGGTGAAACAAACAGTGGCCAATTGCAAGAAACACTTCCAAACGGTGAAATACGCGAATTCAAGTGTACCCAGTTACCCTGATGGCCAAATAGGCTATCTGGTGGCCAGTTTGGACGAATCCGTCGACCTCAGGAAGCCTTCTTTCGTCTTCTCAGAGCGGCAAATCGATGAGTTGGAATTGAAGTATTATAACGATGAAATTCATGCGGCAGCGTTCGTGCTACCAAACTTTGTCCGAAAAGAACTAGCCTGATTAAATTTATTTATAGAAGAACATCGTGTTTCATTTTAGTGATGCACCTTCGAATACCGCTCTATGACCATTCGACCCCTGTCTCACTCATGCATTATGCTCAACTGGAATACCTGCCTAATCCAACGTAGTTTGAACGTGCAGGGTGATTAACCAGAAATGTCCTCCTCCGACTAGCTCAGTTATTTTTGAACCGATTTCAAAATTTGAAATATCATCTTAAATGATTTTCGATAAAGTTTTTTTCCCGCTACATCAGAAAATACAGGGTGCTCGGAACAAACGATCTAAACGGTACTATTCGTTTTTTTAAAATGGAACACCCTATTTTTCATTGTATTTCTAGATTCTTCCTGAAGAGCTGATTCAATCAATGTATCACACTTGGGGTCTAGCGGGAATAATGATTACAGAGATATAGGGTGTTCAAAATAGAGATTTTTCAACTTTAGGATTTTTTTGCGACGAAACTATTCATTATCGGTCAAAACGGCTTTCATGTCCGTATCTCAACTTTTGATTGATCAGAATTCTGAATCTTGAACCACCCTGTAAATGTTTCAATTGAATGTCAGTAGATAGTAATTCAAAAGTTGAGATAGGGACATGAAAGCCGTTTTGACCAATAATGAATAGTTCCGACAAAAAAAATCCTAAAGTTGAAAAATCCCGATTTTGAACACCCTATATCTCTGTAATCATTCCCGCTAGACCCCAAGTGTGATACATCGATGAAATTAGCTCTTCAGGAAGAATCTAAAAATACAATGAAATACAGGGTGTTCTATCGTTTTGTTCCGAGCACCCTGTATTTTCTGATGCAACGGGAAAAAATTTTTAAAAAATCATTTAAGATTATTTCTCAAATTTTTAAATCGGTTCAAAAATGAGTGAGCTAGAGAAGGGGGGGGGGGCATGTGTATGGTGAATCACCCTGTACCAACGTCGTTCAAGCATTCAATGTTGAATGTTTTTAAAATTAAAACTAGTATGTGACGAGACACGACTGTATCAGCAATAAGGAGCATATGACAATTCGTCATATGAACAATGTTGCCACATATCTACTGAAAAACTAGAAAATATCTAAGTGCATGGCTAATACTTGAAATTTCTCATAAGTGTTGAATACTTCTAGAGAGCGCAGAGCCTCAATGTTTCAAATAAAAAAATATATAAATGGTGTTCCTATTAAATACATAGCAGCATAATAACAGCTCATTCTAAAAACCTGCTACGCCACTGGATTCAACGTGAAAAAAATGTATGAGTAACAGATTTTACTTTTTCGATATATTGAAAGCTAGTTGAGATACAGGGGAGGTCCAAAATCCAACATCTTCAATTTCGCCCTGTAACGTATCACAAAAAGGAAGCGTGCTATATGATGTTTGTTATCGATGTCTAGATTTTTACAAAGAAGTAGAAAATATTCGCGGGAACCGCAACAAATCTGATCTCTCTTTGAAAATAAGTGAGATACCTATCCCGTAAGCAGAACATCAAAAATGTGAAATGTGTGTCATGGTTATTAGAAGAGAGGGCATATACAGGGTGTTTCCTGAGAAGACTCACATAGCCAAATGATTAATAGGGGAAATCAAGAAAAGATGATGAGACGATACAGGGTATTATGTGAAATTGATATGATAATACAGAAATGATTCGTCGTTATCTGCTGAAATTTGGCAGCGACGTATCTCTACTGAAACTATTCAAGATAACATATTATTAAAAAAATCCAGGTCCGGACTCGGGAAAATTTCATGTTTCATTGTTATGTCAAAAAAGTTCACTTTTGACCACATGCTATATATATATTTCTGCACGTAGTTTTAGTTTACGGTATAAGTACTCCAGGTCAGCAAGTTTGTGTGAAATATGTGAACGTCTTATCATATTGAAAATTAATCTGAGGCAAAAGTTCTGGATCTTTTGTAATCGGTTTTCACTGTTTTGTTAAACATGGCCCATAGATAATATCGACGATATCAAGGTGTGATAATACAAGGGATTCGCATAGAGTTGTTTTAGTTTGTAAGTTGAGTAATTTTCTGTTCGAAAAAATGAGCTTCAGGCTTCCATTAGCTCTTTGAATTATACTATTTACGTGCATATCAAATCTCAAGTTAGTGTCAAGAAGAAGTCCAAGATTTTTTGCAATTGTGGTCGTAGGTATAATATTGTTATTTATGATTACACCGATCCCTCATAACTTTGGGGCCGAATAACATTACTTGGGACTTACTTGGATTGAGAGACAGGCAGTGCTGAGTTGAAATTTTAGAGAGGGCTTCAAGTTTAGGGTTGATGATTTCATTTGCTAGTTCAATGCTTGATTCATCGAAGGACATATACAGGGTTTCCCAAAAGAACCGGAACGGCCAATATTTCAGCAACGGCTTGACATAATATTATGAAATTTGGTATACGGGTGTAATCAGTTGTGCCGGATCTGAAAATAATATTCGCAACGTTGCCAGTTTCACAGTTTTTCCCATAGAGCCCTCAACTTTATTTTTTTAAATGTAATGCTATGTTTATTTTCAGCGCATTCGATTTGTCGTCTCAAAACTACTATGACCCTATAATATCAAATTTGTATTCCCTTCATGTTTTTTAATATGACAAATGAACATTTCGTCAAAAAATATCACAAAATTTCAATATTTCGAGAAATCATGGCGATATGACAATGAAAATTGATTTATAAGGAAGTTTTCAGCAAGTCTGATCTAAAAATACCATTTATAACGTTACCAAATCTACATGTTGTTTATACTAAATCTTCCTAAGTATTCATTTAAACTGCCTTTTTAATTATTGAGCATTTTATTTGATGTCATGAAGTTACATTCTTCGGATGACACTTAAAAAGCTAAGGTCCCCGTCTTCTTAACTCACACAAGTCTCTGACTTTCGAGGGTTGCTTTGCAACTAAGCTGGCGGTTAAAAACACTTTTAAAACACACACACACACTTTTAAATACATCAAACCCTATTGATCATGAGAAGCTATCAAGAAGTTTATGAATCAGTTTCTCGAGAAACAAATAGAAAAATCTAGAGTTTGCCGATCTATGTTTCAAGAATTAAATTTGAGAAACTTTCGTGATATTTCTTAACAAATGCCCCATACTTGTTTCTATCCACCCTCAAGTTTCTATTCATCCCATGGTTGCTTGCAAGATAGAACAAATTTCATTTGAATGATGAGTCGGAAATTTGTAAGAAACGAATAAAGATTTCGCTCTGGTCATGAGAACATTAAATTTCATACATCTATCGATCTGACAAGATTATACCTACAGGGTGGTCCAGAGAACTGGAAGCTGCAATATTCCTTGAAAACCTTGCATTTCAATGGCATTAATGTTGTCACACCAAATTCGATATTTATCTGAAGTTATTGAAAGAAGACATTTTCATATTCAAATTCATTTCAACAAGTTGGAAAAGAGTTCATCTTCACCTACCACTATAATGATATAGGTGTATCGATGTTTTGTTTCAGAAATAAACATCAACTACAAAAAATCCAAAAGGCTCATAGTGAAATGAAATGTTGAATAAATGAATAAAACTCAAAGCCATTTCCACAAAAAAAAACATGAATGAATAAAACTGGTAGATAACGAGAGAAAAACACCTACTTTCCTGGCTATATGCCACGGAGATCATTGAATTACATCCTCTCGACATGCAACGATTCGTATAGACGAATAAGATCGCTAGTTTTTCCTTCCTAAATGCTAAAATGTGCCTAAATTGTTCAGGAACGATTGACTGTAACTAAAGACCGGTCTCACGAGCTTTTAGCTCTCATCAGTGCAGGGGTGTCCCCAGATGACATTCATTAATTGTATGCTGGGATTATTATGTAAAAAATGAATATTGTAAGCACTGAAGATTAACTCGAAGATAATTGTTTACACTTAATAGGAAGCTATGTTTTTAAAGTCTTACTTACTTAAAGGATATAGGTAGTTAGATATTTTCATCAATAATTTTTCACGCAAAATCTTAGCTGAACATGGCTCTGTCTCAATAAGTTATATGAGGTCACCTTGTATGTAGCAAACATATTGAATGAATTGAATAATTTGAGACAAGTGGAAAATTATGGAACTAGTTAAGACTATCTGCGACATCCGTTGGGATGAATAAGTAAACAAGGTATAGGTACCATATACAAAATGGCAGGCAAAAAATAATAATCCATTACATTTTTCCAATTTGATTGTTCAAATTTCAAAAATAGTTTCGTACAAATTGAATATTGGATCGTTCGAATGATTGTAAAAAAAAATTCGTCATAGCACAGAAAGTGATAAATAGTAAACCTGTCGTTGTTTTCTCGTAAGTAAGTACCTCTATCACCTACTTATGTTTAATATCTGAATCTGAATATAACCCAGCTATAACTTTACAGAAATTATGCTCTCACGAGGTTTCTTTGTTTTTTCTGAACTGAATAATAATTATTGCACTCTTGCCTTTTCAAATGGTGGAGACCACTAATATATTATAATAACAAAAAACTACCAGTAAATATAATTTTGAATTTTGTCATTCATACTCATCAAGGACGATGAAAAAATAATTGAAATTTGTCCATTTCAAAACACACACCTCCTGCGCCATTTAAGATGGTTTCAATTCATTGAGATGTCGTGATGAGACAACACTGCGATATTACTAATGTTCCATCGCAGCGATGTACAGAACCAAACACATCTGCAACATGACATCTCTGAGATGTCGCGATGAGGCAACACTGCGATATCACGAATGTTCCATCGCTGTGATGTATAGAAGTAAACTCATATGCGGGAAATTTGCAAACAAATTTCATTTAGATACTTGTTCGGTGAAGAACAATACATAAGATATACGTTACTCAAGAAAGTGAAGCTAAATTCGCAAACATTCTTCACATTGCTATCAAACTATTCTTACGTCTCGCCGACACACAATACATAATTATTGATACATATACGAGTAACTGATCTCAGTTTGACAGAGATTCTTAGGTACCAAAGATAGCGACGCTGAAAATACTATTGACAGGACAGGAGACCCGAAGGACCACGAAAGAATAACCATCAGTCTCAATAACGCACATAATCAATTTAAGATATCATCAGAAGTCAGTGGTGTACCTATTATCACACCATGTTTGAAGAAATTGTTTTTTTCGTTTCACTGCGATGTTATCTCCCATCATATCGTAGTTTTATAGCATAAACGCATCACTATTACATTGCAATAAATGTATCGCTGTTATATAACAAAGAACGTTTCGCAGCGACGTTGCATGGATGGAACTTGAGTGAGAAAAAATAACATCTCTCTGACATCGCAGCTGAATGCAATGTCGCAGGTCAGAATTGTAACATCGCTGTGATATCTGTGTGATGTAACTGTGTTTGCTGGGATCTGGCTTTTTGGAATATCGAATGGAATATACTGATTTCAAAACTCTATAGATTCTAAATGTGAATCTTGATTCATCTATTCAAAGAGGTTTCAGACGGATTTTTTTATCTCAGTGGTCTTCCCCATTCTATTGAGTTATGTATAAGGAAGAAGCCACATATACATAGAGGGTATGTCACAACGAGCTTACACTATCTCTATATCGAGAATCAGTCAGGAGAGATCCATGAAAATATATGCATGCTCATATTTTAGGACACGCTCTCTTCATTTAAAATATTTTCAGCAATGCATTGTTGCCGCTTCTATCAAAAATTAGCAACATCTTAATTTTTGTTATTTCAAATAGAATACTCTGTATTTTATCGCATTTTTACATTCTCCCTGAAGAACTGATTTAGATATAGGGTGTTCAAAATCGAGATTTTTCAACTTCAGGATATGTTTGTGTCGAAACTATTTATTATCGGCCAAAACTGCTCAGATGTCCCTATCCCAACTCTTGATTTACTACTTACTGATATTCAATCGGAACCGATACAGGGTGATCAGAATTATGATTCCTTACCCTGTATCGTTCCGATTAAATATCAGTAAATAGTGAATCTAAAGTTGTGATTGAGATATGTGAGCCGTTTTAACCGATAATGAATAGTTTCGAAACAAAAAATCCTAAAGTTGAAAAATCTCGATTTGGAACACCCTATATCTCTGTAATCTTTTTCGATTTCGAGAAAAAACGTGATCAAACTTCAAATTTTGATCTAAATGCTATGCTTGAGTACTCCATTCAGGACACCCATTACTGGCTAACCACAGTATGTAACCTTTTGAAATTTTTACATCGTTTCAGTCACATAGCAGAATGAATTTTGCCATCAGGAAAAGCTATATACAGGGTGGCCAAAAATAAACTATGCATATGTTCAACTTTGATACCCTGGTTTCTCAAAAGTTAGGAATTTTACGACATACGTTCATATGAAGTTTTATTCTTGAAATGGGTCCGACAATCGCCCCCTTGAATATTAGCATGTCATTATATAAGGAACACCCTGTATATTTATGTTTGTACTGAACATTTATTTGAACCATATTTTTATGTTTTTTTATGAGATGATCTTTTAATTCATTTTTACTATCTACTATAAACAATCTGATGAACTTGTCTAGCACATATAATTATGGTATTTTATGGATCAATAAAGTTGTTTTTTAATCTATATTATAATACAAGGTGATACATTTTTTCAAGAGGATGTATAACTCATCCGTTAAACCTCTGCGAAAACATGATATGGAAAGATAATTATGTTGAACAAAATTGGTATCTTCAAGACAACTGAAATAATTACAATTGTGTAGGTATTTATTGTTTGCTATATAAATTCAATATGCTTTCTGCGATTGTCACAAAAAAAGACAGCAACAAAACTTGATCAAACAATATAGGTACCTACCTAAGAAACTGTTAGATAAACTTTCCCTCAATCGAAGCAGAACATACCTTCATAGGTAGCTGGTAAGTATTTATTGTTTTGCAAAAAGTGAGCATCTGAGGAGGAAATGGAGACTGCAGGCCATTTTGGAGATGATCAAGATGAGACTGACAAGGAATGGGAGGATTTCACGAAGCTACTGGAACAGAAGAAGAAGAAAAGTTCGCAAGCTTTCTATCCTTGTCCTCCACCTGAGGACGTGGAAGACTATGTTCAAACAATGGTAAGTGTATGAAAAACATCCATTTTGTTAGATACTATACAGGGTGGAGAAATAATAGTGCTCACATACTACCGAATTTATTAAGAAATGAGAAGTTGAATACTCATATTTACTCATCCTACGGAGAATTGTCTATAAAATTTCCCTCACAGAAACATAGATATTTTAATTCAGAATCTCATCGATCATTTTGTTCTTCGAAATAAACCAATTTTAGGCCGTGAGAAGTGGGTATGAAAAATACTTTTTTTTCTGTGACGGGAAAAAAGTTTGGCATTTCATCTCTGTTGGCAGGTTATAAAATGTCACTTTTCATAAATTACTTTTTTCCCGTGGGAAAAAAGTGAGTACTTCTTTCCCGGATATATATCACATATATATACTCTGTTAATGGCTTTTGTTGTGCTATAGTTCCGAAAAATAAGTCAATAATACCGTCTCCGAGAAAGAACTGCAAGTCCTTTTATCTTCCATTCGACTTCGCGGTTTCGTATATTACTATAAACAACTACTGAATTCCCAATTTTTTAAAATCAAATCACAGAATTGAACTGACAGAAGTGACATCAGATATTTGATTACTTCAGAAGAATGATGAAGATGTCTATAAAACGCAGGTGTCCCTACTGTTAAAAACTTGAAATTTCACGTCAATAATTTTCAGATTTCGAAATAATGTAATATCTTCCCAATATTGATTCGTCCTTCCTTCTGTCACAAAAAAAAATAGTGTATTATACACGGGAAAAATATTAGATTTTAGCTCACGGTTTTTTGTCTCCCTTCGCTACGCGTCGGGAGACAACACAACCTGGAGCTAAAATCTACTACTTTTTTCCCTTGTATAATAAATAACTATTTCATTACAGTATTGCAATGCACGGTGTATTTCACATCGGTTCACAGCCAGCACAAAACAACATTTTGCTACATCAGACACCTTCACCCACAAGACACAGCTCTATCGATTCGGACGATCGAAACCATTGAACAATAATTGAACACGGGCACCCATGACCGAGAACAGAAGTGAAAATGAACGCGATCTGTAGTTTTGTCAGTCCCAAAACTAATGAAAAACTATAGCGAAATGAGCCGAATTACGATTGTCGAATGATTGTCTAATAACCGTTATACCATATGTGAATTGCTATGGTTTTTCGTCAACGTACAATGCTAGAAACCCAAACAGCTATGATTGTTAGGACAAACCAGCGTACATACAAATGTATGTACGCTGGACAAACATTATCTGAATTCACCAATGAGCATAATTCACAAAACGAGCCATATCAATAAAAAATCTAAATAGATTAGAATTTATAAAGTTCTCATAATGTCATAACACACCTGCGTTATGATGGTAGCAAATGTCCGTTCAAAGATATTACAAATGGTTTAAGAAAGCGATTTCAATAACTACAGAATGAAGAGAATACTGTTGTAATTATAAAATGATCAGGAATAGGAGATTTCTTTATAATGGTTATTACAATCAGAGTTGGTAGACATTTTAAATATCCAGTTTCTCTCAGTGTACAGTTTTGCACATTTATCAAAAACGAATCTCAACTAGACAACAGGGTCTATGACAAAAAATTATTTCCGAATACATAGTGTTTCTTTAACTTCATTTAATTGATATACTTGAATTGAATAATGAATTTCAATGAACGCATAAATAATATACGCACGTCCCTTTTTTAAATTGTTTCTCTCTTTTTTTTCCTCCTGGATAATATGAAAATTTCACTACCATTGCAGGCTGCTCGTTTTGAGGTTGATTTGTACAGACACGAATTCAGATATAGAGGATTTCAATTCTCTCCCGCGTGGGGTAAGGATATACCCCAGGAATAATTCACCAAATGTTTACTACGATGTGTGCAGAACTAATGACGAAACACATGCAAATACTTGTTAGTTGATTATATTCAGCCACTGAGCTGGCGTGATTTTTCAGTGCCGTGCAGATTAAGCAAAAAAACCGTAATATGATATCGCGGCTTAATAATTGGGAATATTTCAGCTATAAAATCCTGATGAGCTCAAAATATGAGAATTTCACCTAAATCACCTTCATAAAACGTGCCGTCTGTTATATTATTGAATATTTTCTAAAATTTCCGAATTTTCAAGTCATTATGTTCGATTTTTATTAAAATCTGAACTTTGTACGCAAATATCTTCGTAATCGTTTGAAATAACCCTATCAAACCCGGTGTCGTTGAAATCGTTATGATAATCCTTAACCAATTATGGAACAAAATACAGGATGTCCCGATTAAAAATCAAAAGTTGGGGTCGTTTCCAGTGAAACCGAGAGTAATAGAACAAAAATTGTTCAATCAAATAATAAGCAATTTGTTATAATTGCTACTCACCAATTTTCAAAATCCGATCTCGAATGATTCAGAAGTTACAGCACTGGCCGTTTTTTGTGCACTTCTCTGTATATGTTGAATATTTTTTATTTATATGGTAGTCATAATTTCGATCTTATTTTTATCCTGATCTGTATTGATTTGATGCTGTTATCTTTTCTTCAGAAACGTCACAATATGTCATTGATTATTGATTTCATTTTATTCTATCCATATATGATTATAACAAAATGCAACTTTCGATTTCACCCTGTAATTCACCAAATAATATATAACAACCAACAGATAATGATCGAGATAAAAGAGCTCGTAATTTGACAAAAAATTCAACTATAATCACTGCGGAACCTAAAAATTGTATACCTACATCTGATTTTTTTTTATATAATAGAATGGGATGTGAACTACCCCTGAAAATCAGTAACTAAAATCTCCGTTGATATTTGATGTCCGCCTCAGCTGTGTAGCAGTTTATTTCTTATTTTTTTCAGATGTATGGTCGATACAGCAAACAAATAGGGCAACTTGCAAAATTAGAAAGTTTGAAAGCCACGGAAAAACAGAGATTGAAAGCGGAAAAAGCTAGAAAAAAAGAGCTCAGAGGATACCAGGGTAAATATAGGAGTTTTTCGAGAAAATATGGGAAGATGTAAACTCAGGTTATATTATCTGAATTTGAGATATTTTCCACAGTTTCTTTCGCACCGATCTCCTCAAAACCTTATCTGATTCAATTTGAAATATTTCTCTTGTCTAATGACCTGACGTGTATATGTCCAGTCCCACGAATAAAATGAAAGAATCTGACAATATTGTATAAAATAGACAAAATCATTGAATAATCTTCGTTTACATCTGCAATGTTACGAATGTTACGATGTTTCGAAGTAATAATGGAATTCAGTATAATGTTGAACTTATTCTTCTGTTATATGAAAATACAATATTGTGTTTTATGGCTTGCTGCGATATTCGAATTTATAACAGCAGAAAAACTACTGGCAAATTATTTGTGACTTGAAAAAATGACCTCTTGATTTGAATTCCAATGGCAATATTGTAGTGACCATGAAAGTTATAATTGTAATTGCAATATTATAAATGAACTATCTATGGACATTGTCAGTGAAATGTTACATATGGAACCATCATAAATATTTCTATATAGCAATGTTGCATCAACTTTGATACTTGAATATATTTCGAAGATAGTATAAGCTAACTGCATAATACAATATTGCTGCAACTCATGAAGTGCAACGAATTTGCAATTATTCAATTATAATATACAGGGTGTTTGAAAATTCAGTATAAAGATTTCAGAGGATCATTGATCGGTTCAAAATGATACTTTTTCCTGATAAACGTATGTCCACTAACTCTTCTTTGCCGATCCACAAAGTGGTAAAATTTAAAGAGTTTTTCACTTTTTCTCTATAGCTCTTTGAGCTTTCGAGAAATTCAGATTCAATTCGAAACATAGGATAGGTACTGATAGATTTTGAAATACGATATTAGTTCTTTGTTCCGTTTGTGAACTCTTTTGTCTCTTGTAATTTTCACGCATCTGCAACCGTTATCGAGAAACATTTTTTTTTGTAATTCGCTAGATTTAATTGATATTTTAAATCAGAGGGAGGAACCTATCATCATCACAATTATAACAAAAAAATGCTACATATTACCTGAAGAATGAGGAACCGAGCGAACCTTGACTTATTATAAAAGATGCTGGAAAATGAATGATTCAGGACGTCCATAGGACGTTCGAAATTGGTACCGTGGACATCCATTTGACGTCTGTGGGACGCACAACTGTCCCACTTGAGTACCAACTAGGGACGTCCTTGAGGGATGTCCCTGGGACAACTATCGAATACCAAAATCCTACAGTATTCCTCAACAAGCACTACAGAGGACATCCTTAGGACATCCATAGGACAACCTATCATCAACGCTGATTGATATCAATTGGATATCCATAGGATGTCTCAGGGACGTACGAATCATTCTTGAATTTGAACTTTTCTGGGTCCGTCTAGGACCAGATCTTGCATAATAGATTAGGTCATCCAGTTGAGTTGATGGTCCGTAGAAGGTCCCCAAAAAGTTTCCCAAGGATGCCCAATGAACTTATTTGAAGGACATTGACGAGGAGTACTTATAGCCTACGAGCAATCATTCGTCGGCGAGGTGTAAGTTAACGTCTTCGCAGGGACAACATATTGAAAGTACCGACTTGGACGTCCATAGGACATATTTCTAGGACATTGGAAGAGTACAGTTCATGTACCAATTGGGACATCCGACGGATATCCCTAAGGGACATTCGAAAGATGTCCCTAAGAGACATTTCGATTGTTATACGATCCTGGAAATATTGAGGGCGTGCAGATATATTTGAAGGAATATACCATCAGGGACATTTCATGGTTGTCTAGAAGGGACATTATATAAGATCTGAAGTCATGCCAGAATATGTACTACTCGGGCCATCCGATGGATGTCCCTAATGGAACTTTCAAAATCATATCCCATCAGGGACATGCCAAGGACGTCCTTGCATGGACATTCTACAATATGTACTACGTGGGACGTCTAAGGGATGCTATTTCTAGGACATTTGAAATGATGTACCAGCTGGGACATTCCGTGGACGTCCTTGCTCGGACATTACATGAGATGTACGGGATGGGACGTCCCAAGGACACCTATTTTTGGTTCGGGACATTCGGACGTGAATTGTACCAAAAAGGGACGTCCCTAGGACGTTGTGTGCTATTAGGGACGATCTGTATATCGGTAACGAAGCATTTGCGGACACTAACTCATCCAAAAAAAGTATTATTTTGAACCTACTGAAAATAAGTCCCTGAAATTTTGATATTGAAGTTTGAAACACCCTGTATAATACAGAACTCTTTATGTTATGTCCAGCTGTGTTATATATAGTATTCCCTAAACTGTGGTGTTAGTGTTCAAATTTTGACAAATGGAGGTTACGTCATAGTGAACAAAATTGTATGCAGTAGTAGGACTCAGAATGCGAGTATCGAATTTGGAAACAGATACAGGGCGTTAAATTTGACTTTTTCTTTCGATTTTTGCTAATGATTTCACTGTATATTTATCATTTGTTCAAAAAATCGACAGAGAGGCATAATTTTATGCAGGGAATATAATTTTATGTATTATTCTACAGTTTGTTGAGGGAAGCGCTACGTGAATGATTCCTGATGATGATGATGAAATCGACTGGTAACTTTTTTTGATGAAACTTTTTACTGAATTTGATTAGAAAATATGACATAAAGATCATAAAGAAAAAAAGGCACCAATTGAACAGTTCAAAGTCACGGAAGGGTGTGCTTTAGACTGTCAGAAAATTGTTGCGGGTGACTTATTATATTTTTCGTCAGTGACTCAATTTAAGTGCAAGTTTATAGTCAATAATTTTTTTATTGAGACACCCTGTATCTTTCTCCACAGCAATATTTTATTGATGCATATTTGGTCATATCGCCATATTTTGGTCCAAACATTCCGCCCTTATATAGCCATGTCCCAATATTTATGACTCACCCTGTATAACTTCTCGAAATATCTAGTATTAGATATATGGATTCCATCTCAATGAAAAATACAGTGAGGATATAGTTTTCCAACATTGAATAAATAATAGGAAAGTGGGTATGGGATGAACATAAAAGTGATAATATATAATAATAAGTTAAAAAATTGGAATAACACATTTCAGAGAAAACTATATAACCATGAAGCTGATTTCTTTCATCAGGCTGACTCCAAGATTTCAATAAAAATATTCATTCATAGTATTTTGTTGATGAAAATATAATTCATCAATATTCTGAATATTCATCGGAACAAAATTCATAATTTCAATTAATTCGCCATCAGTGCTCACTTGCTGAATTCTACAATGAAGGATTCATGAAAAGATCAGAAATTAAAAAATAGTTCATCTAGTTTGAAGAAATATATATAATGTGAACATTTTCAATAAACCCTAATGAAATTAAGTATATTATATAGTTACCTGATATTCTTTTACCTCATCTATAGGATTTAATATACTTCCATAAAGAAACTTCCTTTAATCAAGCAATTATATTTGAATGTTGAAGCTGGAAGATATATTTATTTCAATTTTCAAATTAAGTTGTGTTTTTTCTCATTTTTGAAACCGCAACATCGTGTTTTCGTGCAGCTGCAATCTCTACCTGAAATTATTGAAAAAACTATCAAAAAACCCGAAGCTTCATATAAACGCTTTCTGTAGATCAGTAGCGAAGGATTGGCGGACACATAATTATGTTTATGGGTAAAAAAGAGTTATTTTGACTTGAAAAATAAGCCGCTGAAATTTTTGTATCGACTTTTGAAACACCCTGTATATATAGGCAAAGATTCTTGGAAAAAATAATCTCATGCAGAAATTATATTTTATTTCTTTCCGTATATTCGATATTCTCAGGGGAATTTCAGGAATACCGCCACTGCAACGAAACAACACTGAGCGAGAGAGGTCATATATATAATATGTCCTTCTCTCTCCCGCAAGGATCCGAGAGGATATTCAATACTCGCACTCAGAATACGTTGAAATAAAACCTTTGGTCACGTAATGTTGTTTCAACTGCGACTAGGAAGACTTGCCTATCTAACATGAATCACACTGTATATATCATTATTTACCCACTATGCTGTTATCTCCAGCGATGCCAGCTGAATAATGTACGATCAAATTATTCAATGATATAGATCCAAATCAGCGAAAATGAGTGACCATCCGAGAACAATAAATCTTCCGATTTCAGGAAAATTTGCGAAGGCTATATCTTTCTTATGGAGACACACGTTTGCCAGGTTGGGAGAGGACTGGGTTTTCTTGGCCCTCTTGGGCATAATCATGGCGTTTCTGAGCTTCATAATGGACAGAGGCATCTCGATTTGCGATAATGGTGAGTTACATTTTGAAAGAAAATAATAATATATAGGAATATGTGAGTATATTGATGCGTGTTTTCAGTTTTCCATAAACGACTATTGGGTTATAAAAATATCATGGGACGGTGAATGAAAGTGTCAAAAATGTATTTTTTCCTGTGACGGGAAAAAAGTTTGGCATTTCATCTCTGTTGGCAGGTTATAAAATGTAACTTTTCATAAATTACTTCTTTCCCGTAGAAAAAAAGTGAGTACTTTTTTCCCGTATATATATATACACTGTTGATGGCTTTTGTTGTGCTATATAGTTCCGAAAAATGAGTCAAATACCGTCTCCGAGAAAGAACTGCAAATCCTTTCATCTTCCATTCGACTTCGCGGTTACGTATATTACTGAACAACCACTGAATTCGCAATTTTTTGAGATCAAATCACAGAATTAGACTGACAGAAGTGACATCAGATATTTGATTACTTCAAAAGAATGATAAAGATGCCTACAACGCAGGTGTTAAAAACTTCAAATTTCACGTCGATTATTTACAGATTTCAAAATAATGTAATATTTTCTCAATATTAATAATTCGTCTTTTCTTCTGTCACAGAAAGAAATAGTGTATTACCTATACACGGGAAAAATATTAGATTTTAGCTCACGGTTGTATGTCACTTTTCATAAATTACTTTTTTTCCACGGGAAAAAGAGTCCTTTTTTCCAAGATATACAGGGTGATTCATTAAGAATGGAGAATCTCTGAACTACAGATAGTAAACACCCCAGCCCAATATGCCTCATGAGAATGTTGCTGGTTTAGGAGATACGGGGTGTTCTAGGGGGAGATTTTATTTCAAATTTTCACAATAACTTCGTTAGTTTTAACAGCATGAACATGAAATCTTGTATTTCTAGGTTTTCTGACATGGGGAATATGAATTTGCAACTCATTTTGTGATTGCTCATAGAGGGCGCTAGTGGCACTCTGTTACTTCGATAATTCACATCATATCTTCTATGTCAATTCATTGATGATCAAAATAAGTGGAAAATCTGAAAACTCGTCCAATTTCACATGAAAAATGTACCTATTCTTTATCAAACTGTCTAGCTTCAACGGATTTGTGTTATTCGCTCTTGAAGAGAGTATCTTCCGTTTATAACATTTTAATAATTTTATTTATTAAATTAAGAATCGGAAATCCCTGAACTACAGATAGTAAACACCCAAATATAAAGATCGAGCCCAACATGCCTCATAAAAATATTGCTGGTTTAAGATATACAGCACAAAACAGCAATATTTGTACAAGGCATGTTGGACTTAATCTTCATATTTGGGTGTTTACTATCTGTAGTTCAGAGACTTCTCATTCTTGATGAATCACCCTGTATAGGTGCACTGTTGAAGATTTTTGTTGTGCCTATGTCGAAAAATATGAGCTAATAACCGTTTAATAACACCTTCTCCGAGAAATAACTGAAAGTTCTTTATTTTATCTTCTATTCCACTTCGCGGTTCGGTAAATTACTTAACAACCACTATAAGTTCGCTATTGAAATCGTTGAAATCAAAACACAGAATTAGATTGACACACATTCGATTACTCCAAAAGGTTTCCATAGCAACAATGAAGATGCCTACAAAAAGATGATAGCAACCACAGGTGTACTATACTGGTTAAAATCTTCAAATTTCACATCGATAATTTTCTGATTTTATTAAAGTGTAATATCTTCTCAATATTGAATCGCCGTTTTTTCTGTCACAGAAAAAAATAGTGTATTATACACGGTAGAATATTATATTTTAGCTCTCGGTTTTTTGTATCCCTGATGCGCTACGCGTCGGAAGACAACACAACCTCGATCTAAAATCATAAATACTTTTTCCTTGTATAATAAATAACTATTCATTCTTCATGTCCGAGGTCAAAAGCTATCATGTTTATTGTTATCATTGGATATACAGGGTGACAATTTTGTAACGAACAGTACCGTATTTGATATTGCCTAATAGAGCAAGATCCCATGAACAATGAAAAACACAATGGCAAATATGAAGTTAATATAGGTCATGGTACCTTCGGGAGGTTACAGGGAACAAAGGTGCTAAGAATACCAACTTATATTCGTCATACTATAAGGGGTATTTTTTAAAATATTTTATTCGGGATAATATTAAAAACATGCATTGCCAGACATGTTAACATGGTGGCTACCCCTTTCCAGATACAGTTGAACCTTGATGAATTGTAACTTAACTTTTTTTTTCTACTCACATAACTAAAATGGCATTTAGCGTACGGATATGTACCACGCTAAATGATCGATTAATCACGGATTGACAATCTGTGATTTATTCAAAATATTAAACACGTTACCATGGCAACACGATTTCTTAAATACATTTCCATGGCAACACAGTTCATTAAACACAGCTTCTGTAATTCGAGACATGTCTGGTCTGTCAATTGTATTAACTGTCAACTGTTATTTCCAAATTTTGTATTAGAATTATTCAAACAATATTCGTTTGTATCAGAATTCTTCATTAAAAATATATGCGAAATAAAGACGAAAGTGAAATCGAAGAGAATGTTCTGGTACTTGCATATCTCCAAGAACTGTAAAAATGAAGCATCCATCTTTGAGAACAATTTATTTATTCTGCGCTAAGCATTACGATAAACGTGACACAAAGGTTAGTAAGTAATGGACTGGACACATCTACAACCAATATCACTTATACGTGTCTCGCTGGTTGCATGTAGTTGCATGTATTATGTTCTCAATTCCCATTCCTTTCGAATTATTTTGTAGGTTAGCAGGAATAACAGGTGTGTTAATGTAATTTTCGGAGTTCGTAGAAAAAGCATAGTATGTAACGCGTTTATAAACTCTTCTAGACACTCGTTTATTAAACACTCGCTCCGCTCTGCTCCGCTCGTGCTTAAAATACTCGTTACTAAAAGGACGTTTATAACACTTGTTACATAATATACTATTAACGTATGAAAGCTGAATTTTATAGATGCTACTTGGGTAACTATGAGAAGATGTTTCCTGAGTAGCCAGACAGTTCTGGTGGTTCTTTTATAGAAATCAAGATTTCTTTTGTTTTAGCAAGATTGTGGTTATTCAGAGACCTCACAATGCACCCAGTAGCACAGTATGCAGCTTGGATATCACTTCCTGTCTCTTTGATACTATTCAGTACTGGTTTTGTACAATTAGTTGCTCCACAATCTATAGGTAAAGTGAAGTTCAAGATCCTGCGAACTAGCAATAAAATAACCGAACAAACGAGAAGAAGAATGAATGAACGAAAGATTGAATAAACGAAATATTGAATGAACGAAAGACTGAATGAACGGAAAACTGAATGCACGAAAGACTGAATGAACGAAATCTTCAATAAACGGAAGACTGAATGAACGAGACAAATGAATGAACGACCGAATGAACGAAAGAAGACTGAATGAAAGAAAAACTGAATGAACGAAAGACTCAATAGACGAAAGACTCAATGGACGAAAGACTCAATGAACGAACGACTGAATGAACGAGACATAATGAAATGAAGGATGAATGAAAAAAGGAATGAATGAAAATATAAATGAATATACGGGATATCGAACTAACGAATAAATGAATAACATGGATGCCTGATTGAATAATGTGAAAATCAATGAATATTCGTACTCATTGATCGATTGTAAATCGATGTAGAATATTTTTTTCTGGGAAATAATTACCAGATTAGTATAGTAATACAATAGATAAAACTTAAAACTTTTTGTAGCGTTTTCATATTATTTATAAGTACTTATATAAATTCTTGGGTTTCAGGATCTGGAATTCCCGAAATGAAAACCATATTGAGAGGAGTAGCTCTGAAAGAATATCTCACGTTCAAGACGCTAGTAGCCAAAGTGGTGGGATTAACGGCAACCCTAGGTAGCGGCATGCCTTTGGGTGAGTGTCATTAGTAGGGAATGCATGAATTCGGATCACCCTTCCTTCAATTTTGTCACGTAACTAACCTCACACCCTTCGTCCTCTTCCTTTAGACCAATCACAGAATTTTCCTCAGCCGTAGGAACTATCATTAGATTTCAGTTCGATTCACTTGAAATTTCAGTATTTGTATCGTCGAAGTTAGAATTGCAATTCACTAATCAACAAAAAAATGTATATAGGTGTAACTATAACAAATGAAGTTGGGAGTGATTTTTCAGGGGTGGTTTGACAGAAGTTGACTTTGCAGAATGGCTTCAAAGTCATTTGTGTCTGACAAGTTTTTTTTTCAAGCAGCATAATTGAGATATTGGCTGTATGAAAAGATATGGGACACCTGGTATAAGAATCATAAGGGATCTGTTAGATATATTGGATCTCTCATCAAACTGAAAATGAGCATTTCCACCCCTTTCTCTACAAATAAAAAGTAACAGTTGAATCTTGCCTTTCATTTTATTTCTGATATAGGTACCCAGTTTGGAAAAAATCATTATATATATTAGTTGTGTTCCTCCATGAATATGTACGTTTCTTGGATCAATAAATGTTATGATCATTATCATTATTATTATTATATGTACTGGGAAGTGCACAAAAAACGAATCATTCGAGATCGGATTTTGGAAATTGGTGGGTAGCACGTATACCAAATTGCTCATCAATTGATAAAACCATTTTTCTTCTATCACTCACGGTTTTTCCGAAAACGACCCCAACTTTTGAATTTGAAATGGGACACCCTGTATTTTATTCCATGATCGGTTAGGGATTATCATAACAAAATCAACGATAATCCCTAACCGATTATGGAATAAAATACAAGGTGTCCTTCTAAAAATCAACTTTGGGGTCGTTCCCGGTGAAACCGGAAGTGATACAACTAACATTCCCTCACAACACAGGTAGATTCTATGGACAACCCAGGGACGTCCATTATCACGAGGATGTCCCTGGGACAGCCTCTGTCGGGACACGGGACGTACTAGGGACGGTATATGGACATCCCTTAGCTTCCAAAAAGGACCCACCAGGGAAGTCCTTTCAGTACGTCCTAGGCGTCCTAGAGATATACCAGGTACTACCTACATTATACCAAGGACATTCCATGGGTATACCATTATCACAACAGTGAATCCCAGGGATATCCCTTGTAAGTTCCAGGGACTGTTTGCATTGTTATAAAGAATGTCATCGAAACGAAAATTGAAAAATTCTCAAGGTACGAGCCATCTTAATATGGGCTCAATATTTCGAAGGAATAATACAGCACAAATATCTTGTAAACTCATTGGTGACTTGGTAGCTGGTTCCGCCGGACTACAACCGCCGCTATGATAAGTATATGAATCCCTATTATATGTGATTAACTCATTAGCTATTTATATTTGTATCTAAAATTATGTAGAGAGCGTCGGCGAGATGTAAGCGGAATTCGAGTAACATGAAAATAACATGGATCACTTGCTTGTGATTTAGTCAGTGAGGAATATCGCGATGTATCTTCAATGAATATTGTTGTTGCATATCTATTATGATAAAAATAGTTATCAGGATATACAGGGACATGAATGAGACAAATCAGGGATGTACCAGTCGGAATATTTCCTGGAAATACTAATCAGGACATTCCAGGGATATCCCAATCATATCCTTGAACGGACAATACATTTTGGGACATAAAAGGGACGTACCTAGGATGTCCCTGTCTTTTTTGGTTATATTAGATTTATAAAATTGCCAATTGTATAAATCCGATCTCATATGATTCGGAATAAGTTACAGCACTGGCCGTTTTTCGTGCACTTCTCTGTATGTTTGCATGTGACAATTTCTAAAACGTCTATTTCCATTCGAAAAGGCAAGGAAGGTCCCTTCGTCCACATCGCCAGCATAATTGCCACCCTTCTCAGCAAGCTCGTGACAGGATTCCAAGGGATATACGAAAACGAGAACAGGACCACCGAAATGTTGGCTGCAGCTTGTGCTGTCGGAGTGGCAAGTTGTTTCGCAGCTCCAGTCGGAGGTGAGGTATTGATCTTTGTTTAGTCCTTTTATAGGTTAGGTTAGGTTCCATGTGGAGTGATTTTGAAGAAGTACTGTTATAACAGTCACATCAGTAGAAACATTGCCTATATGTTATCACAAATATGCCGTAGGACGATAAACAATAATGACAATTAACGCTGTTCCATACTGCATTAGCTGATCTGACTATTCATGAGATTTTGATTGTTTACTGCTATAGCAGAGAGTGGTTACTGCTATAGCAGATGCCGGTTAGTGCTATAGCAGAGGATAGCTTCTGCTATAGTAGGGGGCGGTTACTCCTATAGTAGAGGATGGTTACTGCTATAGCAGAGCGCGATCACTGCTATAGCAGAGGGCGGTTACTGCTATAGTAGGAGGTGGTTACTACTATATACTATAGCAAAGGATGGTTATATACAGGGTGTCCGCTAAAAGGAGGTCAATCCATTAACCATATATTCCTTGAACAAAAAGAATATGAGTTTCTAAATACCATTTCCCATTTTAGCCCTTCATATTCGATATACAGGGTGTCAAAGTTGGAAATTATAAACTGTTTTTTTCTAATTACTCGCGTATTTAATATGACATCAATCTCAAAATTGGTACATTACTTCAGCACAAAGAGTTACATCGTGTGAGGAAAACAAAACAGAAAATAATTGTCAAATATTCAAAATACAGGGGGTCAAGTACACACTTACCCCCATATTTTTCTTGTACGTGCGCAAATGACTTCCTATCTATTCTTCTTCAAGTGTTCAATCATTTTTGAGTATTTTTTGTTTCTTGTAAAATTTCGATAAAATCATTTGTTTTTTAGTTAATTCGAAAGGTACTGGTTATTGTTTGATGATTATGCGGCTTTCGGTAATCTCATGATGTCCACATACTCCCATTTACTTCGTCGAAATTGGAAGAGGACGTAACTTTTTAGCGAGCCCTTTCAATTAAAGAAAATCTTAGCCTTTGATTGAAAAATATGTGGCTTGGTCAGAAAATCTTTCATACATCCAGAGACAATCGTGATCTGCAATTTCTTTCAACAAGTAGCTATTAAAATCATGAATATCATAATTTCACCAAAAATGTCCGAAAATATTTTTTTTACATTTTTTCCGATTTTATATCCCGTTCGTTCGCGCCCGACATACCATACGGTGTGGAAGAGGCTCGATAATATTTTTAAGAAATTCTGCACCACCCAAAACCGCTCAAACCGATTTTAAAAATTTGCTGTTCTCGAAAAAAAAAAATTAATAATCCTTGAGAAGGGTGGGCTCGTTAATCGACCCCCCCATACTCCTAAAATCATTATTCACTCGAAATTCCAAAAAACTATTTTTTCATTTGACCCCGTAAAAAAATTTCACGCCGTTCGATTGGCAAAAAAATTTTATTCGACACGACATTTTTTTTGTAAAAATAATTTTGATACATTCGCTCTGAGCATCCGGTATTTCCATATTTACCTTTTCGTACGTGAAAAGTTACGCCCTCTTCCAATTTCGACGAAATAAATAGGAGTATGTGAACATTATGAGATTACCGTTAGCCGCATAGGCATCAAACAATAACCAGTACTTTTCGAATTATCTTAAAAACAAATAATTTTATTGAAATTATACAAGAAACAAAAAATACTCGAAAATGATTGAACACTTGAATAAAAATAGAAAGGAAGTCATTAGCGCACGTACAAAAAAAATATGGGGGTAAGTGTGTACTTGACCCCCAGTATTTTGAATATTCGACAGCTATTTTCTGTTTTGTTTTCCTCACACGATGTAACTCTTTGTGCTGAAGTAATGTACCAATTTTGAGATTGATATCTTAGTAAATACGCGAGTAATTAGAAAAAAACATATTTTAATTTCCAATTAACTTTGACACCCTGTATATCGAATATGAAGGGCTAAAATGGAAAATGGTATTTAGAAACTCATATTGTTTTTGTTCAAGGAATATATGGTTAATGGATTGACCTCCTTTTAGCGGACACCCTGTATATACTATTATAGCAGAACGCGGTTACTGCTAAAGAAAGGAGGAAGATTACTGCTATACCCAATGTGCACCTATTCGTTGAAAAAACGTCGAGTATTGGTTGGGTAACTAATCGTTGAAAATTGGTTGAAATGTCGCGGACAATGACGTTTTTTTCAATCAGAATAAGTTATAACAAAGTTGAAAAATACGTATTTTCAACAAATTTAACAACGTGTCGTTGAATAATAACGTTAAATATGTGTTACTAGAACGTATTCGTATAACGTTTATTATTGTCAACGTTAAAAAATCAACGTATCTTCTACCCATTCAACGTTAAATAAACTTTGAATTAGCGTACACATGTGCTCATTGGGTAGCAGATGGTGATTATACTGCTGTAGTACTGCTATCGCAGAGACTGGTTACTGCTTCAGGAGAAGGCCGTTACTGCTATAGCAGAGGGCTATTACTGCTCTGTAGCATAGGGCCGTTACTGCTATAGCAGAAAGTGGTTACTATACTATAGCAAAGGTTGGTTTCTGCTTTAGGAGAAATCAGTTACTGATGTAGCAGAGGATGGTTACTGCTATAGCAAATGGTGGTTACTGCTGTACTTACTATAGCAGAGGATGATTTATGCCAGCAGAGGCGGTTACTGATTTAGCAGAGGACAGTAACTGCTATAGCAGATGATGATTACTGCTGTAGTAGAGGCCGGTACTGCTATAGCATAGGACGGCGGTTACTGCTATAGCTATTGCTCTTCATCGAGCTAAAAATTTAGTTTTTTCGAATTTTCAGGGGTGTTGTTCAGCATCGAAGTAACGACAACATACTTCGCCGTCCGCAATTATTGGCGAGGGTTTTTCACGGCCGTTTGTGGGGCCACGACGTTTCGTCTGTTGGCTGTGTGGTTCCAAAGAGCGGACACTGTGAGCGCCGTCTTCAAGACCGACTTCTTCATGGAGTTTCCCTTCGATCCGCAGGAGTTATTTGCCTTCGCCTTGATGGGGTCGGTTGAATTCAAATCTCTATCGACATAAATACCAGCTAGATTATCTAGAACAGCAGTTCTCAACCGTTTTGAGTACAGTGCATCTCATTTTGGGTGAGACTAGTGGTGTCCGCGAGTCTCGTTTTCGAGAGTCTCGCATGGTCTCGTCTCGTTTTCGAGACTCGAGACGAGACTCGGACAAGACGAGACGAGTGCAAGACTTCTCGTGTCTCGTGCGAGAGTCTCGCGGGTGAATATTTCTGCGTGCCGACTGCAGACTGGAGAATTTCATTCATAATACAACATATTTAGAAAGAATTCAGACTATTTAGCACAGAAAGACAAAACATTTCATTCATAAATACTCAAAAAACACAATCCATGATTGTTATTTAGATGTATGATGTAAGTATGTACCTATTAGGTACTTACTTTTCAATAAATAATGTCATTTTTGTTGTAATTTTCTCTTCCTACTTCTACATTATACCTAAGAAGTAGGTGAAGGTAAAATATCCCGTACTAGACTGGAACAAGATTATGCATGGCAAAATTGCGATACAGTTGCGAGACTCTCGTACGAGACGCGAGACAAGACGAGACTCGGGGCTGCGTGACGAGACTCGAGACAAGACTTCATATTTCATCGGCGAGACGAGACTTTATGAAAGTCTCGTCTCGTTGGTCTCGTGTGAATCACTAGGTGAGACAGCCTATAGGTATCTCGATTGTTGTTGAAGATACAACCTTCCGGTTTTTGCTGTCTTTTTTATGAAACCCAAGATGACCTAACCATAACTGCATAACTGTTTCCGTTCATGAGATACAGTGATTTCAAAAATGAATGATTTTTGGAGCCCCTTTATAGCTACGAAGTTTTTCATCGAAAATGTCAAATTGGAATCTTATTCGATAAAGAATTTTACGCAGAATCTAGTGGAGCACTCAATTTTTTTCTCTGGATATGGTTTTGGAGATACGACGCAAACTTATGATTTTTTAAATGAAACAGCATCCAATTCCTAATTCTCATTTCTTCATAACGATATATAATGTTAAATATAAAATTCTCAAAAATGCTCCAAAATCACTAAAACATTGAATTTCAATAGTGGACTTGAATGAAAAATTGCCTCCACCCATGTTTTCAAAAGGAGCATGGATTGATTTTTTATTTCAAAGAACCGATGCTTTAATTGTCAAAAAATTGATGACAGATATTCTAATTTGAAGTGTAGACCATCATTCATTTGCAGACGGTAGCTAGTGTAAACATTAATCTACTTCTATTATGTCACAAATTGTTATTAATGTTTTTGTTGTTATTGATGAACAAATAAATACAAAGAATTTGTTCGGTGCCTATTCAATACAAACAAACAAACAATAAAATCTGTCCTCTTTATAATATTAGTGTAGATGAATGCAGACGTTATTTTTTATGGAAATCCAAACAGTAGCGTATCAGTGGAGCCATATTTTGTACATTATCTCAAATTTTACCCGCACACAAAAACGTAACGACCAAATTTTACTGACACCTCTTATACGAATATGATTACAAAGAGCAACTGATGTTTTCACGAATTTTGACCATATTGGAACTTTGACTTGATTCGAACATTTCAGGGTCATTTGTGGCTTGGGTGGTGCCCTCTATGTGTGGATGCACAGAAAGTACGTAATGTTCATGAGGAACAGCCAGATTGTCAATAGTTTTCTGAAAATGAAGTGAGTACCTGTATGCAATATACATATATATACATATCTAATGAATCAATCGACTGTTTTTACATATTTAACAACTAAAGTTTACAATTTCAGATAAATCACAATATATATACTTAATCCCATTATATGCTATACGAGTCGCGAAATTATATTCTTCAGTCATTTTTCTTCATCCTGATATGGTTTTCAGATATTTCAGCTTTGAAATAATAAGCGTTTATCGTCAGATCAAAACGAGATAGGTATCTACCTAATTCATTGGGAAATCATGAAAACAATGAGAAATTGAAGCAGAAAAGTGATGATGATTTCGGAACAAATATATATGTTGGTCAAACAAGGAGATCTATCAAAACTAGGTACAAAGAACATCTCCTGTGTACGGTCAATTGGAAAAAATATCTAAAGTAGCGTGCGGAAAAGTGACAATATCTATACTCATCAGGATGATAACTCTATGAGGTTCGCTTAGTTATACAGCGTGTTCAAATATTGCTTTCATATAAAATGATGTTGTGCACTGAGCTAATGCCAAGTAAAGAAGTTATTCTCAGTGAAATTCACCTATCTGAATTGAAGAGAAGAGCGTCAAATTTCATATCGAGCTCATTTAAATTTCGTCATTGTGAAAAAAGATGAACGGCTGTTAGAGCACTTGGACTTGGAGACGTCTTTTAGTCGTAGTTGCTACACTCATGTTCATTACTTCAACTTAATTTTTTTTTATGTTCTTGTTCTCACGAAAAGGGATAGCCTGTAATGTTCATCATATGAACCTATATTCATTAAAAGCTCTAAAACGTATAAATAGGCTCAAATTATGGAGGACGATGAGGCTTCACAATTAACAAAGCCCTGAAGAAATTCTGTTACAAGGGTTTTCAATTATCGAGTACATTAAATTCAAAACATTCTTCAGTATCTGATCCTGCACTTCTCTTCGGCATTTGGGGTGGGGTGAAGTTGTGTATAGGAATTGACTAGATACGTCTGGTCATAACTAGATTTCCACTCATTTACTATCTGCAATATTCTTGTTCTTTCCTTTTGAGGACAAATACAGATAAATGAATAATATCATGTAAAAACGTTAAGATTTCCACAAAATTATCAAACACACGACATGTTTCGCTAACACAGTAGCTTCGTCAGGTGATATACTAGTACAATGAACTGAACTTACGTTGGCTTGCTTAACTTTTATATATTCTACATTCCCAACCTGAAGGATTAGTTTACCTGTGGGCAGGTACGAAAAACCTCCATTTCCGGAAATTAGGCACAATATATACATTAAAATACGGTGTACCGGATCAACTTGAAAGAGTTGATAGCAAATACATATTATTACTTGATAACAAATTCAACAGTGGTGAACTATAGAGGTCTAATTGATGGTTTCATTCCTTTATTTTCTACGTGTAGAATTTCGAAATTATCATCAAAACTATAGTTTTCTTCTAAAATATGGTTGGCGTATTGTCATGATATAAATGGAGTTGTTTCCACCATGTCACGATATATTAGATAGTTTCTCCATCCATATCGATTTATAAGGGGTTTGCTTGGCTTAATAGTTTGCGAAAGGTAATATTCAAATATGCACTAATAGTTTAGGGGTAACTGAAAGTACGAGACTATATTCAAAGATAACAATATGTATTGAAGCATGAAACATTATGGGTAACGATGACAAATATGAATAAACAACGATCCATATGAAGACCTAATCACATTATAATGACCATCACAACGAATTCTTGTCAAGTCAAGAGTAGCCCCAGACCAGACTTACTTCGGAACCCTCACACGATATTTATATACATCATTTCATATACAAAAATACGAACGAGGCATTCGTTCGGCCTCACTTTGCCTCGTTCCCGTTCGTGCTCAGGTGAATACGCGCCTTTAGAATTGCAGGTTTCTCATGAGAGTTCCTTGGTCAGTTTTTATAATTCAATGCCAACGGATGATTTTACGAAAGCTCTGGAGTGCCAATGGAAAAAAAATAAAAAGTTGAAATTTCGACTTAGGAAGTCGAAATTTCGTCTTACTAAGTCGAAATTTCGTCTTACTAAGTCGAAATTTCGTCTTAGTACGTCGAAATTTCGACTTAACATCTCGAAATTTCGACATAATTAACTCGAAATTTCGATATGATTGTTATCTCGAAATTTCGAGTTTTCCTGAAAAGTCCGATTTCATACAATCATACTACCACATACGTACCAGTTGAAGTAATTCCCCTTCTAGTCTTATAACATACAGCTTTCAGAATCGTTTTTTCAGTATTAACAATATACAAAGTTATAAAGTAGGTAATCATGCATGCACGATTGGCACGTGAAAAGAAATGGCCAAAAGGGGTTTAAAGGGTGTTAAATGAGTTCATTGCTCTACCTCTACCATAGACGTATTATAGACCCATGATAAAGATGACCATAAACACTATTCTTTGATACGACTATATACGTCTACCGTAATACCTTTTACGTGACAGCTGTGACACAGAATACCATTCTGTGGCTGTGAGCTTAGGCGAAATTTCCAAATTATCGTTTTACATAAGACGAAATTTCGACTTAGTAAGACGAAATTTCGACTTAGTAAGTCGAAAATTTGACTTGATAAGACGAAATTTCGAGTTACTAAGACGAAATTTCGACTTCCTAAGTCGAAATTTCGACTTTTTATTTTTTTCCACTGGCACTCCAGAGCTTTCGTATGATTTGATTAACTTTATGTTTATAAAACCCTCATGGTTCGAAATTACTAATATACCGTATGTTCTACTCGTGACATGATCACTCTCTCCGAGAAAACTGGACCCCAGTTTTGAAATTACTACCTAACTGAAGATATCGAGGAGAAGATATACCTAAAATACAGGGTCTATACAATACACACTCACACCTTTACTTAGTCCGGCACTGGCTATTCAACTGAAGCATTTTAATCATGGTGGAAAATCAGACTCTTCTAGGTGGGACTTCTTGCAGCTTGGGAGTTGGGAATGACGATTGGGCATGGCATCCTCCAATCGTCATGGAAAGTTCGCGGCAGGATCCTTTTTGGTTCGAAGGTATTCTTGTCCTGAGCATATTGGGATGAAATCTTTTGGGCTTTAAGATTTCCTAGACTGTTTTCTTTTGCATAAAATTCATCTTATGTTCATGAATGCGCTGATTAAACGTACGACCTGTCTGACCGATATATAACTTAGGAAAAGATCCACAGTTGAGTTTGTATACTCCTGATTTTTCGAATTAAGAAGTTTTGTCTCAAAGTAGGATATATAAAAGTTAAGCAAGCCAACTATAGTTCAGTTCATTGTACCAGTACCGTAAAACGTGGTGAATAGGATCGATGGGGTGAAAAGGCTCGAAAGTTCATTCGAAATTAAAAAAATATGATGAAACTACAAACATGAGCTATTCATCTCGGATTTCAACTAAACTTTGCTAATAGACATCGAAGATCATTTCTGCATGATTAACCGTCCTGAAATCCGGCAACACCGGATATGACAGTTCCTAACCTACAAGACCAAATTTGGCGCCTAAATCGTGGTCTCACAAAGTTGACAGGTTGTGAAGTTCCCAAATCGAAAAAAAGGTGAGTGATGATATAGAAGTTATCGATATCAAGTACTATAAGCAATTTTATCAACAGAACAAAAAAATAGTAAGTTGTTTTTTTTACAGCCCTTGCAATAAAAAAAAACACCTGTTGTCGAAATAGATGGGGTGAAAAGGATCACATGCCGCGTGTCTACAAGCCCGATCCACATGGAAAGCGGTACCGAAAATACGACGACGAGGTCATTCAGAAGGCGAAAGATGCAGTGGGTGGTGGAATGAGTATCAGAAAAGCTGCGTCCGAGTACAGAATACCATATACATATATACCATATACCATACCATATATATATAATTTCCTGAGACAGAAGGAAACTAAAAATGCCTGTGGGTACATTTATCAGTTTCCTGTCATCAAAGAATTGACAGAATTCTCGTTCGACCAGGTGGTGGGAAAATTGGAAGAACCGGAAAAGTACTTGAGAGGGCACCTGAAGTTTGCAGGAAATTTTAAAACTTTTTAATTCTTTATTCTTGTCTACTTAGTCTTTATTACCTAATGAGAATTATTTTATTTTATTTTATAACTGTATGTTTTAACTTTTGCCAAAGAATTCAAGTTCCTTTATTGTTGAATATACAGAGTGGGCCTTTGAAAACGAAACAGAGGCTCTGTAGGTCGCCAAAACCGGATTATGAAAAGAATCTGAAACACGTCATCTACATTTTCGAGGGGGACATCGTCCTACAATATTTTCAGCCCTGCGGCGTTGCCGCTGCTAACGAAAAGAAGCAACAACTTTGTTATTTCAAATGAAACACCTTGTATTTTATTGCATTTTTAGATTCTCCCCGAAAATCTGATTTCATCAATGCATCAAACTTGGGGTCTAGCTGTAATGGTTTCAGGGATATAAAGTGTTCAAAATCGAGATTTTTCAACTTTAACATTTTTTTGTGTCGAAACTAATCATTATTGGTCAAAACGACTCCCATGTCCCTATCTCAACTTGTGATTCACTATCTACTAACATTTAATTGGAACAGATACAGGGTGATCAGAATTCTGAATCTTGAATCACCCTGATGTATTTGTTTCAAATAAATGTCAGTAGATAGTAAATCACAAGTTGAGATAGGGACATGAGAGCCGTTTTGACCAATAATGAATAGTTTCGACACAAAAAAATTTTAAAGTTGAAAAATCTCGATTTTGAACACTTTATATCCCTGAAACCATTACAGCTAGACCCCAACCCAGACAGCACCAGATATTCCATGAATCTCCCTATCATATTCCTTTTGGAATATTGGAATATTCTAGAAATAATCTGGAATATTCCGGAATATCTGTGGAATATTCTCTAAATATGCGAATGGGAATTCCTCAGATAATCATAGAATATAATCAAAAGAATATTCTATGTTGAATGTTCCTGGAATATTCCAATAAACATATTCTAAAATAAAAAAAAGTGACCCAAGTAGGGATCGAACTCGTGACCTCAAGACTATCAGAGCAATGCCTTGACCACCAGGCCAGTGATCGAATTGGATAATGTTATACATATCAAGTTCTTGTGAGAGCATTGTTCGAAATCGGATCATAAACACTTTTTGTTTCAAAATCCCCTTACATCTAATTGATGTTCGATACTCACATCTCTGAAATAATAAATGGTATTTATGTGTTGAGAAACATAGGAATATTCATGGAATATTTCATGAATATACACCACAGAATATTCGGTTGAGAATATTTCATGAATATACCGCACAGAATATTCAGTTGGGTATATTTCATGAATATACCGCACAGAATATTCAGTTGGGTATATTTCATGAATATACAACAGAGAATATTCAGTTGGGAATATTTCTGGAAGATTCATACTTGAATATTCCCTGAACATGTCCGATTATTCACTTTGGAATATTCCTTTTAGATGTTCCAGAGGCATGTATATATTCTAGAAATAATCGATGAATATTCGGAATATACTCCTCCTTTTCAGCATATTTAGAGAATATTCTATGAATATCCAGTGCTGTCTGGGAAGTGTGATGCATTGATGAATTCAGCTCTTCGGAGAGAATCTAAGAATGCAATAAAATACAAGGTGTTCCATTTGAAATAACAAAGTTGTTGCTTCTTTTCTTTAGAAGCGGCAACGCCGCAGGGCTGAAAATATTTTAGAAAGATGTCCCCCTCGAAAATGTAGTTGACCTGTTTTAGTTTTTTTTGATAATCCGGTTTTGGCGACCTACAGAGCCTCTGTTTCGTTTTCAAAGGCCCACTCTGTATAGATTTACGCTTGTACTGAGTGATAAATAAATGTTTTGTATTTTTTTTAAAGACAATTTGCGGTTCTATTCACCCTACCACCCTGCCAAATCGAATCTAACGCATAAATAAATCAGTGATCCTATTCTCCACGCCCGTGAGGTAAATAGGATCAGACAACAAAAAAATATATTTATGAAACATGGTTCACCCTATGAAATATTCAATTCCAAAACCATTTAGTACTTCCACTAACTCATATTTTCACGTTTAAAGAAAAACAATATCTTCATATTCAACGGAGATATGAACACTCCAAATTGAAAACTGATCCTATTCACCACGTTTTACGGTATATCACCTGACGAAGCTACTCTGTTAGCGAATTATGTCGTGCATGTGTTTGAAAATTTTGTGGAAATCTTATCGCATGTGAAGTTTTCACATTCGCCATGGATTTCGATCAAGTAACGACCGAGTCAATTAAAAAAATTGATATTATAAAATGATATTATTATTTGCAGTCGTTTCCTGTATCCTGCGTTAGTCGCAGTGCTGATGTCAACTATAACTTTCCCGCACGGCACAGGCCAATTCCTTGCTGGCGATTTGAACACCCACGACCAAGTTTCGGCCCTTTTCAGCAACTTCACTTGGACCAAGGCCAACGTGACGGTTATGCAAAGCGAACTGTTGGGACATTGGAGGACGGAATGGACGGCAGTGTGGGTCAATTTGTCCTGCTACATCGGCTTCACGGTGACTAATGACTATTCCACTCCTGATCTTGAATTTCCCACATAATTTGGCCTGTGTTGATCCACCCCTGTAAAGGGTGATTGGAAATCGAGCCTCATCAGTGGGATCTCGTAAACCGTAAGAGGTCCCATATATGTACTCGACGTCTTGGGATTGTCCATTTCAGGTCCGATTTAGGTCTGAACGTTCGGGACCTTTTCAAGACATACTGAAACGTCCATTTCTAGAGGTACTAGGTACATACGATTCCGATATACTGAATACGTCTAGATCTGGACGTTATCGACTGTTTGTGGACGGAATTGAATACATTGTATAATGATATATTTGAAATCATTGCATATAATTTTTACCCTCGATCTCTGATAACTATTACGAACATGAACATAATTCTCACAATTCATTTTTTACTACCGTACCTAATCACAAAACATCTGTTTGGAATTCTTTGCCGTGATCATCTAATTCTATGAAAGTATCGACATGAAGGTCTATCGACATTCGCACATAATCTCTTGTTTTATACTGATATAACGATAAAGTGTTCTGTAAAGTAATAGGTAGAGCATATGCTTGGTAATCTAGATGTAATTCAAAATAAGATTTTTTCTACTTTGTACTTTGTAGATCTCTTTTTTCAACAATCTGATTGAAAGAAGGCGGTTCTACGTTTATTCAAGTATCCATGGTCCTGGAATGGACGTACGGGGGATGTACAAATGCGCGGAATCTGGACGTCCCTAGTAAGTACCTAGTACGTCTACGATCCTAATCTGGACGTCCCCAGTACGTACGAAACGTCTTGGCCGGACGTTCTCAGTACGATTCGGGGACGTATTCGTGCTATATATGGGACTGGGTCGGTGAAATCCGAGGTAAAATCATGGCGAAGTTGTGCAATGTTATGCTTAACAAAATGACGTTTGGAATCTTCGAACATTCTGAATACTTTCGCGGGGATATACAAAAAACCGAAATTTTCAAGAATCATTCAAATTTTTTTTATTTATATACACGACCGGTCGTAAAGTAGCACTACCCTTAAAGCACGTAAACGTCTTAGGGACATCTCTATTTGGTACAATTCAAGTCCAAATGTCCTGGATCTCAAACAACATCCCGTACATCGCATGCAATGTCCGAGCAAAAACGTCTATATGGAATGTCCCAGCTGGAACATTATTTCAAATGTCCTAGAAATAGCACCCTTTAGATGTCCTACGTGGTGCATATATCAAGAAATGTCCATGTATGGACGTCCTTACCATGTAACTGATGGAATATAATTTAATACGTTCCTTTAGGGAAATTCATCGGATGTCCCAAGTAGTACAAATTCTGGCATGAGTTCAGATCTTATATTATGTCCCATAGAACGAACATGAAATGTCCCACAGACGTCCAATAGACGTCCGCGGTATCAAATTCGAACATTCTATGGACGTCCTGAATGTCCCGACGGGACGTTTTAAGGATTTTCATGGGACATACTTGTGCTATCAGGGTACCGCCCCGTTTGTGGGCGTAAAGTGGTAATTTAACGCCCGTGGACTACTTTTCCGCCCGGCGTATAGGTAACTCGTAAAATGCATTGCTGTACGCTTCAGCGGACAATTACGTTTCAGTTGTGACGATTCCTTATCTAATACTACAGTTCTCTTAATATTTCTGAGATGCAAACTGATATGACCGAACCCAAAAATGTAATGACATTAATTGACAGCAAATAATATAATAGTTATTTATGTATCAAGGGCGTAAAGTAGGCGTTTATGGCCTGTGGCGTGAACATTACACGCTGAAGGCAATAAACGCATTCCACACACGTGATACATACAACATTTTATGCACTAGTGGTTTATTTTCTGACTCAAAAATAATAACTATAGATTTCGATAAACTAATATTCCCCCGAATTCAATTTGTTACATCTAAATTCAGTAATCAAGAGAAGCTTAATGTTCATGGATGATTCACTTATGAAAATTATCGTACGAATATTGCTATAATCGTAGAAGTAAAATTCTTTGATCTCTAGAAGAGATTCATTCTTCAGAATTTCACAATATGCATACCCAGTATATATATACCATTAATTTTGACGTTGTCAAGAAAGCTGGTGGTTGTTGTCTATATCTATAGCAATACATCCGATAAACAAGCTGAGTTATTGTCATTCTTTGAGTGAAAAGTGAAAATAAGTGATAATAATAATAGCGAGACTATGGAATCGGATAAAAAATAAGTTTATGATATTCCGGTGGATATATTAGAATCTAGGAAAATGATCATATTTTTTTCATGAATTGATATGTGGATATAAGGGAACTGAGAACAGTGGGCGGTAAAGTGCACTTTACGGCTCGTGGGCCATAATGAACCCGCGGGCGGTAAAGTGCAACTCAACGCCCGCAAAACCGGGCGGTAACGTGCACTTTACGGCCCGCTAGTGCATAAAAGTCTATATACTTATTTTATAAAAATTTGACTGAGTTACCATGGTATCGTTGGTTCCATTATCAATGATATTCCTTACTGCAACCGTGATGTATATCTATCGTTCTCGTGAGGTGAAGAGGTATTCAGAATGAAAAATCGAATACACCGATCGTGCATAAAATGTTGTATGTATTTTGGGCATAACTTGTTTTTGCGCCCTTGATACATAAATAACTATTTTCGAGTTATTTGAAGAAATTGATCGAAATTAAAGGACACTTCATCATATGGCTATTTCTGCTTACCTATACAAGTTGGCGTTTTCCGACATTTTGTCTTCCGCCAGAAACCATAATCAACTTTTTTTTTTAATGCGGACCTGCGACCCTTGGATATCCTAGAAGCTATGAGTGATCACAAAATGTTGTTTCCGGATGTTTCGTTCACAAAAATTGACCTTTTCTGTATTTTTTTTATATTCCATACGAACTCACTACGCAAAGTTGAAAGCTATGTTGATGCAATGTTGACGCAATTACTGAAACGGACGTTCAGCAATATTGCAAAGTGGATGTTTGATAATATAGCGATCCAGCAATACATATAACATGTTGCTGTGACATTGCTGGAACATTATACATTTACAAATTTACATTGGCAATATTGCTGAACGTCAGTTTCAGTAAGTAATTGCTACAACCTTGGAATCAACATAGCATCCAAATTTGCCTAGCGGTGAACTGTCAATTTTTTTAAGTGGTATATCGTAAATTACCTGCTCATCAATTTTCTTTATTTCAGTTCATATTTTCTATAATCTGCTCAACGATTCCCGTGCCCAGTGGAAGTTTCATTCCCGTCTTCAAAATTGGAGCTGCTTTCGGAAGAGTAGTTGGAGAGCTGATGCACATGTGGTTTCCAACAGGTAGGTAGGTACTCGATTGAATGCGAATTCTAAACTTTTTTCAGTATGATTGTACTTACATACAGAGTGTTCAGAAAGGTCATGTCATAAATGATAGAGCTGATATAGGGTTACCATGGTATCAATAATGATATTCAAGTAACTCAATCAACTCATACCAACGCTCCTTTAAGAATGTAAACGGATGTTTAGTGATTATGTTTTATACAGGATGGAACGAATTTGTTCCGCTTAATGGGGGTATTTTTGACGGAGGTGACAAATTTGACATTTTGCTTTCACCGTTTGATTCCTTCATCTTTTTTCTACAAAAATAGTATACTTCATTTTAATCTATATCTAGTACTATTCTAGAGGAAATCGCAAAAGCATACATCCCAACGTTTCAGAGTTGAAGAAAACTCTATTCATTCAATAATTGATAATGATTGATAATTATACATTATGCTCTCATTCACTCAGTATTAATTATGCTTAGTATAGGACTACTCTTATTACCTATTATTAATTTTGTACACCTATTAATGTGCTCTTGGGCCTGTTAGATGTATTTTTTGAAATAAATAAATAAATAAATAAATAACATCATGGTAGTTGCAGTCGTTCAAATTCGACATCAATTTATTTCGACAGTATTCGATACTTTGCTAACACCATGGATAAGTTCAGTAATTATGAGCATACCTTATGATTTATGGACTTGCAGGAACTTTCAAGGTCAATAGTCTTTTTTTTTATATGAAAGTACCTATTAACATTATTTTGGCTACATTCCGAATTGAACTGGTCAGTACTGTCAGTAAATCCACTGAGTCTGCTGAAAATCTGTGTTCAGAAATATATAAGATAAAAAATACAGTGCTGTCAATCAGAACACGTTTTCATAGTTCACTTCGCAGATGTGTTTGCTTCTGTACATCGCAGCGATGGAACATTTGTGATATTACACTGTGACCTAAACGCAACATCTCAGAGATGTCATGTCACAGATGTGTTGGCTGAGTGATAGTAATTGAAAACAAAACCGCATCAAGCATGGATTTAATCGAAGTCATTGATACTTTTGCGAAAACTAAAGCTATAGGAAGATTGTAAATATAATTAAATCATATGAAAATCATCCATATATCGAAGTGGTCCAAATTAATTTCAAAAGAAAAAAGAAGCAACACAAAGTCGGTCGACCACACTTGATATAAAAATCTTCAGTAAAAAGTAACCGGTTTCAGCACTACGGCCATCATCAGACAATGGTACCAATCAATATGAGACTCAACATGTTAAACAATAAATCATGGTACTATACGATTCTCGTCAACAGGTTGGAAGATAAATATAATTTTTTATCAATGCAGTGTACAAAAAAAGGGGTGATGAAGAAGTAGCTTTGCATTTTTAAAGTAGGTATCTGTATATTTATCATTTTCACTCGTTACCAGTTCAGATAGCAGTAGAGCTCCACTTTTTTATTTGCTCCAGGGCCCTTGTTTACCTATAGCTACGCAACTGTGGATGTAAAAGGATCACTTCAAATTCGATGAGAGTTTGCAGTGTGCTTTCCATCGCTCTGTGAAATATTAATTCTTCTTTTTTTTATTTTCCGAATTCATGATCCTCTAGACAATAAAATGAGCTTTTGAAATCTGAAAACCGAATTGAAATCGGCTTGTTTTTTGAAAGTTATTATAATCTTGCTTTTGGGTGTATGATAAATTGACATTCATCATACGGGGCGTGGAAAGAAATTCTGAATTGAGACTCTATCACGAATCTGCGATTTTATTTTTTATTTTTCATGTTATCCTTTTGAATGTTCATCAGATATAATTCAATGTTCGACGTGGTAAATGGCCAGGAAAGTAGTTGTTTTCTGTTGAATATTCAGAATGATGTGTGCATATACATATTTCTGTCTGAAGAAGAATGCAAATTCTCAATTTCAGAAGTTTTTATATTTTATTTTCTTATCGTGTGTGTTCAATAGATATAATTCAATGTTCGTCGTGGCATATGGCCAGGAAAGTAGTTGTTTTCTATTGAATAAACAGAAAAAAAGTAGAAATTCTCATCACATAGAGAATTCGAATTCTCAATGTATTGCTTCATATAAATATATATCCATTTTTGTATGTCCATAATTTATCTGAGTATATTCCTTTTCAACACTATTATAATCTTGAATTTGAATGAAAATTTCAGGGGTCCGACAATTGATGGGCACTGTATTTTCTCTATTTGTAAGAATAAAAGGGATAAATTGACCAAAATAATTTTTCTGTTGCGACAAAACTATTTTTTCATTGTACCTATTTTCTTGTTTCTTCATAAATATGTTTCAGGTATGAGATATGGCAACGAAATCGCTGAAATCGTCCCTGGTGGCTACGCCACTGTCGGAGCAGCAGCTTTCAGCGGGGCAGTCACCCACACCATATCAGTGGCGGTGATCGTGTTCGAGATGACCGGCCAAATCACCCACATCATACCGATCATGATAGCCGTTCTGGTGTCGAACGCCGTCGCTAGTCTGCTGTACCCCAGTATTTATGACAGCATCATCTTGATCAAGAAGTTGCCCTATTTGCCTGATCTGCTGCCCAGCAGTAGCGGTAAGACAATAGCTATTTGTGTATTTAGAACACAAAGTGATAGATTGCCGCTCGACAAAGAAAGTTACCGCGCGATGCGGAGCGGAGCGCGGTAATCTTTGGAGAGCGGCAATAACACTTAGTGCTCGAAATACACACAAGATTTTTTCTACTAACGCAGCTTTTGGAAATAACTGCCCTGAAAGTATGAGCGATTGAGATAATTGAAAAAGTTCTTATCCATATTATCCCATATGTCCAAAGGAAACAAAAAAAGAAAAATTTAAATAACTGACAAGCCTGAAAAAAAATGTCGGGCCTACCGAGAATTGAAACTGGACCACCAGCGTGGCAACCTGAGCTCCAGACCTCTGAGCCATAGTACGATAAACTCTGCAATCAAATTGAACATTACTCATTGATGCAATAAAATAAAGATACACTGTCTTCCTGATGACAACAAAGAGTTTAAATATAAAGTATAATTCATCGTTTCCAACAGATATGCTTCATCGGGAGCTTCTTGTAGAGATTTGTTGGTATATATCTTCAGCGGTGAATGTTTTGGATTTTTCTCGCTTTATATCAGATAGATTGTTTCTTGAGAAATGCGGTAAGTTTCAGATACTTATTGATTCCGATATTATCTTTAACATTCAAGCATGTATACGTACCATCGAATATATAGACCAATGAGTTGATGACTTCAAAGTCTTTGATTTTCTACCAAAATAAGCCAGTAAAACGTTTTCTGAATACCTATTCACCATCTCAGAGTGGCACCAATTTATGAATGTATCATATTGTGATTCATATTTCTTCCTTGGTTTCTCCGGTAAGAGATTCAAACTCTTGCGCTTTCTGCTATATCAGGAGGTGTGTTTGATGATTCACTGTCACTATTTTCCATCATGAAAGAATTAGGGGTTTTCAAGAATCGATAAGTATAGGTTTCAGAGATGTGCGAGCGTTTTTTCGATATTTCCGCTCACGAGCGCAAATGCTGTCAAAGAATGACATTTCTGGGAAAACGTCAACTTTGTGCCGGAATTTGAAAGCGTCAAAGGCTACTTTGTTAAGCGTTTGTAGAAAATATATACTTACCTAGTAAACAAAACACCCCAGTAAACACAAACATCCCTCTGATGTGAAGTCTGCTATCCTGATCTTCTATATGTCATATTGAGTTCAAAATTAATAATTCTAGCACTAGGTCAGAGGACACCTTTCATATTAAGCATAAGTAGGAATAAATAAATGAATGATTAAATCAGAGACATTTTTGTTTTCCGAATTTTGAACTTATTCTGATTTTGACACTTTAAAAAACTGAAACATCTTACGTTACATTAACCAGTTGCGTAAAGTAAAATGTTTCATAACTGGATGATGAAATGATCTTATCAACACCAGTTACGAAATTAAAATATGGATGGTCGAAGAAGAGAAGTTCATTTTTTGCTGCTTCCTCGATTTCACAAATTGGTGAACCTGAACATCAATGAGACATTCCCTACTCAAAAAAATAAAACGATTCTATTTCGTCGCTTATATCAAAATTTGCAGGAATGTATAATATTCATGTGGAGAACTTCATGATACGAGATGTGAAATACATATTCTACGGCATGTCCTACGAGCAAATGAAGACGTTGCTGAAGGAGAACAGGAGACTGCAAAGCTTTCCATTGGTGGACAGTCCAGACAGTATGGTACTGTTGGGATCCATTCAAAGAATGCAGCTCATTCAACTTATAGAGAAGCAGATAGGAAGAGAAAGACGACTGCAGGTATGAGCATAGATTAATGACTCCCCCTAATCTATGGTAGTATGAGTGATATTCTTTCGTTCTGAACTAACTGACACATATTTCACTTGAACTGAATCAGTTGACATGCATTGTACCCAATCAACGTCATTTGAAAGGAGGCATATACTGATTCAGTTCAATTCTTGTGAAATATTTCTGATAGTTCAGTCAGATTGAAAGAATATCACCAGTGGTGGACCAAGCGCAAGTTCCTCAGTTCAATTTCAAGAAACTTTGTATATAATATGCGCCTTTGGCTATTGTGAGGGTTTTTGCCTCAAATTATATGGAACTACACTCACCGGCAAAATAATCGATCCACTCAAAATATTGATAAAATTTGATCAACGATAACTTCGTTAATTCATGTCTGATTCGTTCAATTTTTTTTATTCCGTAGGTAAATTCATAAAGAATCACACACAATATTGAGATTTTAAGAAATGGGGCATATCTTCAAATTATATAGAGTGACAAAAAAAGTGCATTTTCACTTCAATTCTAAAACAATCTCTGGAGTGGCTAAGCTGGTAAATCCTGTAATTTTTCAGTCAATCATCAAGCTACGTTTATTACGAACATTTTCTTTTCTTATTTGTTAGGATAACTGCATTTTTGTGGAAGTTACAAGGGTTTCAGAAGAACGTTACATTTCAACATATTTTTCTATGGTAATAACAAGGTTCCCCAAGCCATTTTTTGTATAGCTGGCTGTGACAGACCTGTCAGCTGACAATTTGTATGCTTGTGTTGATCATCGAATAGTTGAATATGATATGGATCTTTCTGCAACCGACTCTGCGAGAGCTTTTGCTTTGGTGCAGGATGGTAGATCACAATATTATGTGGCCAGAGCTCTGGGAGTTTCAAGATCCAGGGTGCAAAAGGCTGTGAAACGGTTTCGTGAATTTGGTGTATTCACAAGAAGAGGTAATAGTGGTCGGAAAAATTCTACGAATGATCGAGATGACCGCTTCATAACGCTCAAAGTTTTGAGGGACAGAAGACTAACTTCTGTCCAATTGAAAAACGGATTAAAGGAGGTTAGGCAAGTTTAAGTCAGCGATAGAACAATAAGAAGGAGGCTTCTCGATATTAAACTCCAAGCAAGAAGACTTGCAACTGGTCCAGAGTTATCGAGGAATCATCGAGTTAATCGCCTCAGATATGCTAGGGAGCACGAATATTGGGATAATGAACAATGGAGCATATATCCTATTCACCGACGAGTCAAGGTTTTGTCTGAGATCAGCGGATGGACGTGAAAGAATTTACAGAAGAGCTGGAGAACGTTTTCTCCAAAACCATTTTTCGCCAAGAGTGAGTTACGGAGGCGGTTCGATAATGGTGTGGGGTGGCGTGAGTTTTGAAGCTAAGACGGACTTAGTCATAGTGAAAAGGGGATCCATGACAGCTGATAGGTATATAAGAGACGTTTTAGAACCACATGTTTTCATGCTTATGCATGACAATGCCCGACCGCATGTTGCTAGGATTGTGAATGAGTATTTAGCCGATGTTGAACTCCCAGTAATGCATTGGCCTCCCCGAAGCCCCGCACCAAAATGTGAAAATGTAACGTTTTTTTGAAACCCTTGTAACTTCCACAAAAATGCAGTTATCCTAGCAAATTAAAAAAGAAAATGTTCGTAATGAACGTAGCTCGATGATTGACTGAAAAATTACAGGATGTACCAGCTTAACTACTCCAGAGATTGTTTTAAAATTGAAGTAAAAATGCACTTTTTTGTCACTCTGTATAATTTGAAGATATGCCTCACTTCTCAAAATATCAACATTGTGTGTGATTCTTTATGAATTTACCTACGGAATAAAGAAAAAATTGAACGAATCAGACATGAATTAACGAAGTTATCGTTGATCAAGTTTTATCTATATTTTGAGTGGATCGATTATTTTGCCGGTGAGTGTACATAAAACCGCCAATCGCTAATGGTGCACTATTAGTTAGTTATATGTGCTCCCCTTTAATCCCATGCATTTTCCAACTCATGACACGTTCTGCAATGCAGAGTCGTGCTGGATAAAATCCAGTGACTACTCCCCACAGCCTGTGAAGTGAATAATCACCGGGACCAAGAAACGTGTGCCCTGAGTAAACGCAATAATGATCCTAGTATGACGGCCTTCTGCATTCCACCAGCCAGGATGTGTGCCTTATCACTGCACGCTGGGATTTTCTGGATTCCCGAGAGCAGCGTATGTCGTGTGCCTCCTAGGGAGCCGATTATCAGGATGACCAATTCCACAGAATGGTCTGAATAGAGTCGGCGGAGTTCGAAGAGAAGATCTCGATATTTAGTCCGTTTCTCCTTCTTCAAAACGATGTTCGCTTCGGTTGGCGTCGAAAACTCGATCACGAACATCGCTTTGGTTTGATGGTCGAGGAGGACTACATCAGGCTTGTTAGCTTGAATTTGCCTGAGGGAGGGGAATGAGAAGTTCCAATTGAATCGGCACCTCTCATTCTCCACAACGGACTCAATATCCCCCGGAGCATAGGGCAGCAGGTGCATAATTATCTCGGGCGCCCTGCGGCAGGCCCTGCAATTTGTGTCAGGGACCTCCATACCTACCCATGACACGGCTACGGTAGACAAGAGTGTTAAAAACCAGATCCTAGCATGCCATGATGAACCCCTCTGTTTCCGATTTAAGCCCGCCTGACTTTAGAAAAGCAATAGTCAGTTCTCTGGATAAGCCCTGGTCTTCAATAATGGTCTTAAAGTAGACCGAATGCATCGGCTCTTATCCATGTGAAGCTGCAGAAGCTTTCTCACTTCTGCAGTTTTGATGCGGGCCTTTCTCCGAGCAGACTCTAGCTCAGTTACTAAGTCCTGAGCCTCGCGCTCTGAGTGGAAAATCAGAGACAATTCATAGGCTGCTCGACGTGCTGCCCTAAAAAAAAAAGCTCCTACTCCTGCCTCTTCATGGGTTTTAACCATCTGCAGGAGGGGATCCGAACTCCTGATGACTCTACAGGCGCCATCCAGAACCATTCACGGCCACCCTGGTCTCTAGGTATGTATAACCGTGGAACGGACGAATTTGGATGCAGACTCCTATGGAGATGCATCATCTTGCGAATACTCACGTCAAGTTGTCGCAGCGTCCAAATGAGTAAAGTGGGATCGGAACAGCAAGCATGTTGGTAGCAGCGACTTAGTTCTTTCCCGACAGTTCTGACGACCAGATCTGTCGGAGCCACTGCCGATACTTGCTGCGGAGAGCGTCTTTCCCCGTTGTGCCTCCTGGATATAAGTTTCCTCTACACCCAGGTGGGTGTACGTCTCTCCGGCACCCAGGTGGTGTAGGATGCTTCCGTCCACGAGGCGTCCTTGTCGTAGTTCTCGCATCGTCCTCTCTTGAGATCAACTAGTGCACATTTGTTTATTCCGAATTCCATTTCTATTGCCTGAGTGTACTCCTGCACCACCCTGAGGGATTGGTCCATATCCCTCTCAACAGAGGCATAAAGTTTGAGGTCAGCCACAAAGAATAAGTGGGTGACCTTATGCCTCCGGTAACTGGGTGGGCCGCAGTTGTATCCCCTGGTTTTCCTGAGCTCAACGGATAGTGGCAGAAGTGAGATGCAGAATAGAAGAGGGCTAAGGGCATCCCCTTAAAATACTCCTCTCTATGATGACTGGCTCTGTTTGGACTCTCGTATTACCTGATGTTATGGTCTTCCAGGCCAGCATCAGTTATTCTATGCATCTCACTATAGAATCGGGTACCGAAAGACACTTGAGCAAGTACACGAGTATTTCATGTGACGTTGTGTCAAATGCCTTTCGGTAAGCGATCCAGGCCACAGAAAGATTTCGCTTGTACTACACGTAGTCCTGTGTAATAGATCTATATGTTAGCAGGTTCTCCAGTGACACCTCATCTTTGACCCACGCTGCTCAAATATCCGCTGGTAAACCGGATCAACTACTAGGAGTACTCGCATGTACAAGATGCATGTGAACAACTTGTAACATGCAATCAGGCAGGCATTATTATTATTATTATCATCATCATAGGTGGCCGCCGAGCGAAAAAAAGAAGCCGAAGAACGAGCCATCGAAGAAGCCCTCCGCAGCGCCGAAGAGCGAACCAAGCGCCGGCCGTCCCGCTTCCACGTGGTGCCGGCGCCGGACGGTCTGCGCCGGCAGGCCTCCGAGCACCACCTCGACAGGCCGGTGGCCGGCATGCAGCCCAAAAAGTCCATCCTGAAGAAGACGAACTCGTTCACGCTGAAGGGCTGCACGCCGTTTTCTTCTACTAGTCCGGGGAGTACCCCGTATAGCACGGTGACAGGGGCTGAGAGCAGAATTAGGTCCGCCTTCGAGGCTATCTTCAGGTGAATATAACAATTAATCAAATAATCAGCCAGATATCTTTCATTGTTCTATATCTCTGCGTTCAAATCTTTTTACCCCAGCTAAGTTCTTGTCTATGAATTCATTTGATTCTCAAACTATAAAAATCTGTAGAACAGTATAACAGTAAATAGATAAATAAATGGCACAGATCTGAGACTAAATAACAATAGATATACACAACTCACTCATTGAACACGTTTGGGTTCACACCGTCTTCCATCGACTATCCCGGGGGAACACCCCGTATAGTAGTTCGGTGACGGGGCCTGAGAGTCTAGAGACTATTCGGATCCTGCGAAGTATATTTTGAAAAATAAAGAAAATCTTCTTAGCTTCAATTCGCATTCATAGCGATGCGAGTAGATCCAATGATTGACACATTATTTGCAAAAAACTTGAATATTACCTAGAAAATTGGATTTTGGTTTAGCTTTTCATGGAGATTCAAAAAAAAATTTATAATTGGTATGTACGGTATTTCATTGTGTGTCCAAAAAGTATTGATAGAGAGGAACGGAAAGAAGTACTTTTCCGACGGAGGTCAGTTGTCGGTGGGACTGGTGGGAGTACCCCAAGGAAGTGTATAATGTGTAATGGGTCCGTTATTATTCGACTTTTATATGAATGACTCAGCATCAGAAATAGTCAACGAAAAAACACATCTAGTATATTATGCCGATTACACAAACATACTAGCGGTAGGATCTTCATTACAAGAAATATTAGATATAGGAAACGACAGCCTAAAAAAGGACTGGATTACGACTAGATATCAGTTAATATTAAACAAAGAAAATACTACTTCCCAGTTAACACAAACATCTATGAGATGTCGCATTCATGGCAGTTGATGTCATAAAAGCGAATCACAATATTACATCGCTGATATCTACACGGAATTCCTCGTGTGACAGATAGTTCGCAAATTCCATCACATTCTGTAGGATCTGAGACCATTATGGATATAATATCGAAGAAGCTCCTTGACATAACAGAGACTATAATTTTGGAATCTAAAATTTCAGTAGTTGAGAGTCGTAATTCGATGTATCTTAATTGACAAACTGCTTCACATTGTGCAGAATGATAAAACAAAAATATGCGTCAATTTGTGAATCTCTCTCACATCTCAAGGAAATTCATTTAATATCGAACAATACTTGGAATTATCGGTCTACTCTCATACTCATGAATGTAGCGCACAATGTGACTTATGATAAGATTCGTACACACTCGGTCGGTGTCGGTCTGACTAATGTACACGTGTCCGTAAATTCTTCAGCAGTGGCATGCTTTCGTATCGTCCATTTCGATGTTCCAGTTCATTCGGTGTTAGTATGCAGTTCGGGTTTGACGTTATTGCTCACATACTGAAGCATGTTTTTCTAATAGTAAATTATGATTGACTAAAGATGCTATGTGCTTCTCATCTAAGTTACAGGGTAAGTACGATTACCTACAACGTTCATAACTTGATACAATACTGGTTGACAATGAGGAAAGGGTAGACGACACGTCGCAATTTCAAGACGATGATGATACTTACAATGTTAGCTTTGAAGATATCATTTTGAGATCAGGGTGTGAGTGAACGTGCACATTCTGATTGTACCTACATATATATAAGAATTGGTGCTACTCACGGTTGAACTATAAGTGGTGGGACCTAAGGTGGGCCCAAAGTCTGATTAAGAACAAAATTTTAGCAACATGAATGGAACGAAAAAATGCGCCGCAGCTATTCTCTATCTCCGTTGTCACCCGGTATGAAATAGTAGGTATGTAGATATGAAGTGACTCAAACACTTTTCAATATTCTCATTATGGTTATTCTCTACTCACTCTATAAGATAGTATTTCTTATCTATACTTACCCTATTATAGTTGTATAGATGATCAACAGGAAATGGGCAAAGAGAAATCAATTGATTGTTCTTATATTGATTTCCAGATGCCAAATCACAAAAGACATCTGGACCATTACCTTGGAATAATTTTAAATATTGAGCAGGGATTGGTTTCCATATGCTACAACGGAAGGAGCGATGAGGAGCAGATATTGGATGTTCTTGGCTACATGATGTGTTCGCATAGTTGGATTGATCCATTGATCTCATTCAAGTTAATTTCTTCACTATTATACAGGGTATATCTTCAACAGTTAACGCGATCTATATATGGAGAACTAAAAGTAGCACGATTCTTAAAATTTGTAGGGACGATGAAGGAATTATGGGAAATCCTTCTAAAATATTTTCGTTATTGTGAAGCTTCTGATTTTTCCGAAAGTGACTTCATCTTTGTTATTTCCAATGGAACACCCTGTATTATTCAACATTTTTGAATTCCTCTCATAATTTTGATTCAAATTAATGCATCATACCTCATACCCAAAATGGAGCGTTCTTGAGTTATTCGAGTTTTTCTTGAAAAAGTTCGACAAAATTTGTCATTCAATGCAGCCTTTTGAACATAGAAAATTTTTATGGGAATTTAAATTTTAAGTGATATGCATATTGATTGAATCGTGAATATTGATTGATCTGGAACATTGAAAATCTCAATTTTTTTCGAATGAAAACCATATTTTTTTCCATCATAATTCAATTCTATAATAAAAATGAGCCCTAGTTCGAAGTGACTTCCCTATACCCAGAACCAAAAATTTTGGAGATATTCCAAAAATAGTTTTTAATCCTGCATACTTTTTCCAGAAAAACACGAATAAGTCAAGCACGCTTCATTTTAGGTATATATATATACTTAAGTAAAAGTATGCAGGATTAAAAACTATTTATGGAATATCTCCAAAATTTTTGGTTCTGGGTATAGGGAAGTCACTTCGAACTAGGGCTCATTTTTATTATAGAATTGAATTATGATGGGAAAAAATATGGTTTTCATTTGAAAAAAAATGAGATTTTCAATGTTCCAGATCAATCAATATTCACGATTTAATCAATGCATAGCACTAAAAATTTAAATTAGGGTATGATACATAATTTTGAATCAAAATCATGACTTGAAGAGGCCATATTTTGAGGAAAATTACTGTCCGGAGCTTCAATAGTATAGAGGAATACAGAAATGTAAAAAAATTCAGGGTGTAATTTATATTGAAAAAAAAAAGATGCCCTCACTTCTGGAAAAAACGGAAGCTTGACGATAACAAAAATATCTTAGTTGGATGCTTCATGTTTCCTTCACCGTCATTACGAATGTCCAGAATTGTGCCACTTTTAGTTCTCCATATACCGGGTGACACAGACTCATGGTATACGCCCCTTTTCTAATTTTTTTCTTCTAGCTATATTTCTAGAAGTTGAAACATCGAATATGCTCACTAGAGGGCACTTTCTCACATTTTAGGATTTTTTCCACCTTTCCGTTTTCCTGGAAATGACTTCAACTTTCGATTTTCAAACGGAACACCCTGTACTTTATTTCATGATTGGTTGGAGATTATTATAACGAATTCAACGATACCGGGTTTGATTGGGTTATTTCAAACGATCACGAAGATATTTGCGTTCGAAGTTTCGATATTGCGCCGTCACAACCATTGATCATAATATGGATACTTCAAACGTAAATATCTTCGTGATCGTTTGAAATAACCCAATCGAACCCGGTATTGTATTTGTTATTATAGTCTCTAACCAATTGAAGAATAAAATATGGGGTATTCCATTCAAAAATCGAAAGTTGATGTCAATTCCAGAATAACTGGAAGATAAAGAAAGTCATAAAATGTGAGATAGTGCCCTGTATATAGTCAGCATATTCGATGTTCTAAATTTCAGTAATATACCTAGAAAAACAAAGGAGAAAGAGGGGTAGACCATGAGTATGTGTCACCTGGTAATCCCGGTATAGATATCGCCTTAACTCGTGAAGATATTCCCTGTATAATAATCATTTCAACAATGTCCAGGCTAACGCTGATTCTAAAATTTTAATCATTGTTAGATGTAGCTATAGTTTTGCTCAATATTACATGTACGTACATATTTTGATGTGAAATGAGATTAATTTTCAATAAAATCGAGTAGCCTTGTGAAACGTTTGAGTTATCTATTTGACCAGAGATTCGACACCTATCAGTCCTCTCATTGAATACCTTCATCAATCTACATGTGATTTCACTAGAGAATCAAAACTAAATGTGTATGTGGCATTTTTGAGAAGCACAATATAATTTTCTCAGGGCCGCTATTATATCAGTATAATAATCGAAAAGAACCTCACATTTAGAAATGGTCGATGGTTTACCAAACCTCACATTTTGATTATAATGTAACCTCAATGTGAGTCTAATTTAAACGTGAAATCTAGAGTCACATTCAGCTAACTTTGAGTCCCATTCGGCATCTAAATGTGAATCATAAAATGACCAAAAGGGTCCGGAATAGCAGTCATTGTGATTTCAGTAGGACTCTCAATTCGAGTCACGGATGTGATGTGTGGCATGAATGTGATGCCCTCTAATATCTCTGGGATCAATCTGTGTTAACTGGGTTGTTTCTGTTTCACAACAAAAAACGTCTGGAAACAAATACCGCAGGACATATACAGCTTCAGACACAAAACGTAAAATTAGAACATAACACAAAGTTCTTAGGAATTCACATTGATCAAAATCTGAATTGGGAGACTCATATCAATGAACTCTGTTACAAACTAAGCTCGGTATGTTACTCTTTCAGAGTGACAGCGAAATATTTAGAAAGTAACTATTTGCGAACTGTATATTTTTCCAACTTCCACTCTCTGTTGCGTTTTGGTATCATCTTCTGGGGTGGAAGCAGTGAAGCACAATGAGTTTTCGTAGTACAGAAGAGGTAGGAATCAGTTACAGGCAGTCATGCAGAGGAAAATTCAAAGGCATAAATATATTAACTTTCCCGGGTATTTATATATATGAGTGTTTAGTATTTCTATTCAAAAATAGGGGGAAATTCCAAGCCTATGAATCAAAGCATAGTTATGGTACAAGAACGATGGATTTTAATATCCCACCTCACAGACTAACGGTAACAGAAAATACCCTCATGTACTCGCGTGTATTAAGTTTTACAATCGATTACCTTCGAAATTGAAAATCGAACCAAGCCTTACAAAATTCAAACAGTCAGTTCAGGAATTATTGATTGAAATAGAACCATACACCATAGATGAATTTCTTGGTTCAAGTATATTTTAATTCAATGTCACTTATTGTTTCAATTATGTATATGTATTTTACTTACTAAAAATGTATTATCAACCGTTTTTTTAGTGTATTTTAGTATTTTGTGTATATCAATCAATTCTCTTTATTTTGCTCATTAAGTATGTGATTTTAAACATGTTCGTTTTCTGATAGTGATTTCAGTACCTTCTTTCTCAGATGTTCGTTTGTTAACAAACATATCATATCTGATCATATCATTTGACGCCAGTTCATTTAATTGTATTCGTGTATTGTAAATGTATGAGTACACTTCTTTGAGTAAAGCAATCTATCTATCTATCCATTTGAAAAAATAATGGCGGACGTGTAAACTCAAACGTGGATATACTTAATTTTCCCTCATGAATGTGGTGAATTGGGTTTGAAAATCAATCTGTTCAATGTGATTTCTCAGAAATGGTGAGTTTGACTAAAAATGAATGTATTCAGTACTTTAAGAACGTATACTGTATAAAACATTACCAAGTGGAATAAATGAACTCATCTGGAATATCTACATTTACTGTGGTGAATGAATAAATCAAAACAATAATAATATCAGTATTGTTTCAGGAAATCTGCACAGCTTCAAGACGTAGAGCATACTGGTGAAGGAGACTCAGACCGAAGTGTGTCAACAAGTCCAATTGCCTCAAAAAAAGTTCAACTAGTGAGTATTATTTTAACCTGAATTGTAAAAAGTTGGCCAACCTGGACACTTTCAACATAACATACCGGGTGAGTAAAATTCGAGAGTAGATGCCTGGAGATCTCGGAAACGGTAAGAGGTACAGACAGGGTTAAATCGAGGCAAAGTTGCGCAATTTTATGCCTAACAAAATGCCGTTTTAAAATTCAAAAAATTCCGAGTACTTCCGAAGATTTTAGGGAAAAACGATTTCATCTTATTGTTTTATGACTCTATTTGAATAGATGTAACAAAATGAATCATACATTCTCATTGCTACATTTTCTGTTCTACAAGATGGTGTTCTCAGATTTTCAAACCGACGTTTCGTCTTCGAGCTGCCGTCATCAACTTTGTTTCTTTAAATGAAGACTTGTAGTTTTTATTATGGATTTCAAGAGCTTTCAATTCGCTGAAATCAATGGTGTATCGCACTCATTCGAAAAAGGTGTTGTTTTATCGTTATTAAAACTATTCTCTGTCTCTCTCTATTACATATGGGATTTTATAGGAAATACCGAATTTAAAAAAACAAAGTGAAGATGGCAACTCAAAGGCGAAACCATCTTGTAGAACGAAAAAAATTGCAATGAGAATGTCTGACTTGTTTTGTTACACATTTATTCAAATAGGGTCAGAAAAAAATTAAAATGATTTCGCGAATATTCGTTTCTCTCCAAAAGTCTTCGGAAGTATTCGGAATTTTTCAAATTGTGTTAGTCATAAAATTGCGCAACTTTGCCTCTATTTAACATCTTTGTAGCTCTTACTGTTTCCGAGATCCCCATAATATGCATATACTCGAATTTCACTCACCCGGTATACATAGGAAAGTAGTTGTTTGCTATCAAATTTTCAAACAAGGAATATTGTAATTTTTTCAAATTTCTTGATATAGGTATTTCCAATATTTGGCAGATATAATTCAATATTCTGTGGTATTACCCAGGAAAGTGGTTGTTTTTTATTGAATATTTCAACAATGATTTTCTTATTTATCAAAAAACTCCTAAAAAAAGGATTACTTGAAGATATGGAAACAGTCCTTGTATGATATTGAAAATAAATCGCAGAATACAGGGTGTTTCGTAATACATGCGCAGGACTTCAGGATGTGATAATGAAAACTTTTTCATATTTTTGAACGAGCTATCACATCCTGAAGTCCTGCGCAAATATTATGAAACACCCTGTATATGATATTCCACAATTGAATATTATATTATAAACAATTTACTGTGTATCTTTATACAGGGTGTCACGAAATTAACTTGACAAACTTCACCAAAGGCTTCTACGACCATCAAAAATGGGAAGAAATGTTCCAATGAACATGAGTTCAAAATCATTACAAAATTTCATTCAGACGTGTATAATATAGGATGTGACTATATTGAATATTGCTCAACAAGTTTTGTTTATATATTACATATGATCAATACGGAACAAGAGCACCTTTTTTCTTTGAAGAGGCGTGGATTTAATTGTCGAAAGATGTGCATACAAAAAAGTTTAAGCAATATTTTATGTAGTTCCACTCTGTATTATACACTCCTGCATAGGTACTCCTGAATGAAATTTTGGAATGGTTTCATTTTCACTGCATTTTAACACATGTCGTTTCGGAAATATCCAAGGAATATGATCTTCAGGAGCCCCCTTTCAGGAGTCCGTAGCTCCCTTAGTAGATATTAATCGACTCATTCCATTCCAATCCATGGGCGATGAGTTCTTTTTTGAAATAATAACACAATGAGGAAATAAAATTGATGACATACAAAGCACCACAGTGATGTATGTAACACAGCAAAACAAGAGCAATCTTGTGTTATAGCCATAGAAAAACATTGTAGTTTATCGAACGGCACCTGTGCCAATCACTATCCTAAGCAGAATAATTGAAAAATGTCAAATGTCAAATTATGCCATCCGATACCTACCAATTGAATGGTAGATCTCAAAAACCTAACTGTGCCATCATTCCCGGACATACCTCCGTCATGTGATAACAAGTTGAAACAAAAAGCAAATAAGAGGGGACGATATCCCTCTTGCGAATATCCAAACGTGCCGCGATTCAAACTGATCTAAGTTAGTGGCAGAGCGTCAATATTTCCGAGAATATTTCGCCCCTCTTTGAAGATAATATCCGATGGACCAGGGTAAAACTCAACATGTCGATTAGAATACTTGTATCACGAGCACCACAAGAGTCTTACACTGGTCCATCGGATATTATCTTTCTAGAGGGGCGAAATCTTCTCGGAAAAATTAACACTCTGTCACTAACTCAGATCAGTTTGAATCGCGGCACGTTTGAATATTTGCAAAGGGGACATTTTTTTCTTTCATTTGCTCTTTGTTTCGACTCGTTATCACATGACGGAAGTATGTCCGGAATTATAGCAGCAAATAAATCGTTGTGCCGTGGACTTGGCTCAGACTGAGACGCAGCACAGGTAGGTTTTTGAGATCTATCATTCAATTGGTATCGGATGGCATAATTCGTATCTCGTTATCAAATCGCGAAATCAAGTGCAAATTTCCTCACAGGAAAGTGCACTTTTACAATCATTTTGCTCATATATATAGTATATGCGTCATATCCGGTAGTTCTGATTTTTTGTACAAAAAACTGCGAAGTTCGAAAAAAATGATATAGGTACTTTGAAAGGCTCAATCTCGGAAACTAATGAGTCAACAGAGACAGTTTTTATATCATATTGTACCAAATTTGGTCTACTTTAAAATCGTTCTGAAAGTTTTTTTTTCAAAAACTAGTCCTTTAGGGTTATAAATATAATCGCCAAAAACTAAAAAAAAGCGATTTTTTATCCGCAGTTTTTTAGATTTTTGACAAAGTTGCGTCGGCGTTCAAGGTCACAAACTTGGATTATTCATTAGGTCAACATCATGATCATGAACAAGCCTGCAAAAAATTGGAACTAACGGATTTGACGCATACTGTGATGTATAAAGTTACTGGATTATTAGGATAGTGATTGGCACAGGTGCCGTTCGATGACCTACAATATTTTTACATTCCTTTTGGACATATATCATTTCGTTATCAGATGACGGTCGAAATTTGCAGCCGGCTCTCCAACTAATCAAGAATAGTTATTTTCCTAACAAGTGCGCAAAGTGTTACTTTTCTGCACGCAAATACAGTTAGGCGAACGACGCGGAGCGGAGATCGAATAAGTTTTGGCGTGGGGAAAAGACACTTTGCGCACGTGTTAGGTACCACGTTTTTCCTACGAGCTTCATCAGATAAAAAGGAAAATAAAAAAAAATATAACTTATTAAATATGTAACTATACAACAATCACATATAACAATAAAATATAATAATAGAAAATCACATTTTTCTTACGAGCTTCATATCAGATAACAACAAAAATTAAAAAAATTCAACTTAAATTACAATTTATTGAATAATTTTTAGTTGAACTCGATAGAAATAAACATAAATAGCTAAACAACAAACAATTCCATATCAATAAAATATAATGATAGGAAATTAAATCATTTGTTCCTAATATTTAAATTGAGGTGAAATACAAACAGTGGCGTAACTACCATAAGACAAGTGAGCGCAATGCGTTGGGGCCCCCAAGCTTGGGGGGCCCACTCGTCGGACTTCAATGAAAAAAAAAAAAACTGAAATATGCGAATATTTGAAGCAGTTCCTAATATTGTAGGTTTTTTTCAACTGAATCTAGGGACACTTCTGTCAAGCAAACATTATTTTTACTATGTTCTGCATTAGTTCTGGGCGCGACTCATGACGCAGACGGTCAGCGGTCAGTTAACAAATAGATTTACAGGGTTCAATAAAGTGAGTGATATTTTTACAACCTAAAAATTTCATAAATTCAACAGTGTCGGAAATCATTGAGAGGTGTGACTACATTGAAAAAAAATATTCTCAAATCATATCACCAAATATGTCTTTATTACAATTTATTAACATGGTTACATTGTTGGAATCAGAGTTGAATCCAGAAAAGTCTGTACAAAATTTTGCCGATTTATTGTTAATGAAATATAATTATTTGGAGTGTGACTTTCCAAAAGTTTATATTGTCCCATTATAATTTTTTTCATGCCAATTACATCTGCGTCAGCTGAAAGATCATTTAGTGAATTGAAACTGATCAAAAGTTATTTGAGGAATCGAATAAGGCAAGAGCGATTACAATATTCATCTTTAATTTCCATCGAAAGTGGAGCTGCAAACAAATTAGACCTGAGATTTGATAAATGAATTTGCAATGTTTAAAGCCAAAAAAAAAACTTATCGTTCAATAATTTTAGCTTGAATGTAAAGTTGAAGGTATTTGAAATTTTGTTTTTATTCAATGAAAAACCACGTTGAGTTTCATTTTACTCAGAAAATCTGAAGTTATTTTGAATTTTTTTTATTTATGAAAAAAATATGTTGTTACTCATTGTTGTAGTATAATTATGTAAAATAAAATATTTAAAAAATAATGCCTGTTTAGTTCGTTGTTTTATTTTTTTTTACTATTTGTGATTTGTGACTGTATTTTGCGTTGGGGCCAAAAAATTCTAGTTACGCCACTGAATACAAATATCGGGAAGAACGGTTGAAAAGTAAAAGGGATAACGGCTTCTTATAGTGCATACAATAGTCTACAGCAACTAAAATGAATATACATGTTCCATACCAGTGAGATTTTTGGGTAGTTTTATACTTATCCGCACGCCGTGCGGATAACACCCATATTCGCACTGAGTGAGGAAAAGTATTATATTATATTGCAAATGAGTGCGGAGAAGTACTACTTCGCGCACGCTCGTAAGAAAAATTTATTTTGAATTACTACTTTTTCAGCCCAGCGAAAGAGTGTGCGATATGAGCACCGAAGACCAAATCAAATGGGAGGAGGAACAAATGAAATTGCAAGTGGATTTCTCTACGTGCCACATAGATCCGGCTCCTTTCCAACTGGTAGAAAGGACGTCTTTGCTGAAAGTGCACTCGCTTTTTTCCATGGTGGGGGTGAATCACGCCTACGTCACAGCTATTGGTACATTTTTTTTTGTTTACTAAGAAATTAGTTGACAATTAGGATATTATTTCGTTCTGAACCAATGAAATACACCTATCAGCCAGAAAAACCGACCAGTAAAAAATGTTGTCAAATTGATCGCCCTGTAACTTTTTTAATTCTTGTCCGATAATTATTTTTAATCTCTTGGAGCGCTCGAAAGGAAATTCCTATAATTCGACTGCAAGATTACTACGCGTTCATCTGTTATTTACTAAAAATCAAATATCAACATACAGAGAAGTGCACAAAAATCGGCCAGGATTGTAACTTTTGAATTATTCTAGATAGGTGGGTGGCAAATAATGACTTTTGGAAAAAAAATTTGAGTATCTGAAAAAAAAAACTCTAAGAGCGCGCAACGACATTGGCAGTATTTATAAAACATAGAAAACCAACTAAAAAATTGAATTAGACTTACCTGTTTACCTTTTGACTCCCTCTTTAATAAAGTTTTCGCCCACTTATTTTTTCCTCGCTTCCCACAACCAGTTATATATTTTTTATACTTATGAAATAAGAAAAAATTATGAATAATCTCCGAGGTCCCGAGTCAATATTGAGAATACATTAAATTACATTGAAATCAGGAAATTATCGACGTGAAATTCAACAGGAATTACATCTTCGTTGCAGGCATCTTTACCATTTTTTGGAAGTATTCGAATACCTGTCAGTCTAATTCAGTGATTTGATTTTTAAAAAATTGCGAACATATGTGAATTTACATAACCTCGAAGTGGAGTGGAAGATAAAAGGACTTGCAGTTATTTCTCGGAGATGGTGTAATTGGCTTATTTTACGACCAAAAATGAGAAAAAAAGTTCATATAAACATAGGTCGAATAATGTTTCAAAAGACGCCCCCCCCCCCCTAAAGGTGATACCCCGAAACTGTTGATAGCAGAATCAATTAATTTTGAAAGTCGACCAATCTTCTTATGTTCAATAATATGCGATAATAATAATTTCAAAAGTTCATCCAGAAATGGGTCAAACTGTGGCGGGTGAGTAAAATACCCTCAACTTATTCGGGTGCGTTTTTTTCGCAATTTTAGCAAGAAATTATAAAACTTTGAAATCTTTTGCATTAAAAGGTTCCTCTTGTTTACCTTCGATAGGAAGCACCGTTCTCGAGTAAAATTTCAAAATGACTTCACGTCATAAAAATTCATAATGAAATCACAAAAATTAAAATTTTGAGCGTAGGCCATGAAACAAGACCACTATGTTTGTGAAAAAATAATCGAGATTGGTGACAAATTCATCAAATAAGTGACAGAAGGTTTGTGAATTTATTTGATTCATGAAAAAATACTGAATATATCTGAGCGATATTTTTTTCACTCAAGTAATTGTTCAAAGTGGCTCTTCTATTTTGTGGAACGAAGAATATTTGAAATTGTTTAATCTGATTTCATCATAGGACTTTCCTTGCGTGCACAAGAGATGAAAAAAACTCATTTATTCTCAGCAGGAGCTCCACTCGCGTGTCCACTTCAGTGGCGTACAACTTCTGTCACTTATTTCATGAATCGGTCACCTGTCTTGATTATTTTTTCCCGAACATAGTGATCGTGTTTCATGGCCAATGCTCAAATTTTTTATTTTTGTAATTTTATTATGAATTCGTATGAGATGTGAAGAAATTTTCAAATCTATTTTCGATTTTACTCGAGAGAACGGTGCTTCAAAGCTTCACAATTTTGTGCTCAAGTTGCAAAAAACTGCGCTCAAAAAAGTTGGGGGGATTTCAACTCCCCCTCCCCCCCCCCCCCCAGTTCGACCAATTTCTGGATGAAATTTTGAAATTGATATTATCGCATTTTATTAGACAGAAAAAGATTGGCCGTTTTCCAAAATTTCATAATTACCACCTTCAAGAGGATGTAGCGCGGTTATGAAACATTATTCGTCCTATGTTTATAGGAACTTCTTTCTTATTTTCGATCATAAAATATGCTGGTGAAGTATGCACGCTCATTATGGGACACACTGTATACCCATGGATATTAAAAGATAGATGAAATGAGAGAAAGTTTGTCCGAAATACTACAAGAGTCACTTTTTCCCATGGGAAGAGAGTAATTTATGGAAAATGGCATTTTATAACCTGCCAACGGAGATAAAATGTCGAACTTCTTTTCCGTTTCAGAAGAACATGTTTAATTTTTTTCTATTTAGTAATGTTTGATATCACGTATTGATATAGTAGGTAAAAATAGGTTTTTGTTATTTTATTATTATTATTTTAGGAAAACTCGTAGGAGTAGTGGGTCTTACAGATTTGAGAAGAGGTATAGAAGATGCCAATAGTGGAAACCTTCCCCTCCACAAATCTGAATCGATGAACCTCAGCAATGGGAAAATCAACGTCGGTGGTATCAGAGATTCCTTACAAAATATACACGATGATTCTAAAGTGTAGTGACAAGATACTGTTTTGAACATGGAGTGAGTTCTCAGAAGTTTCTTTCTGATTATTCAGTGTGTATATACCTGACCCCTTTGCTAGATTAGATAGAACACTGCAAAATAAGTTGGGTTTGCTCAGAAAAATATGTCGTAACGACATCCGTTTTCAAGATACAAGGTATTGAAAAAATGATTTTTTCACACATTTTTTACGTGTATGTCGACACTACTGGCAACATTGTAATGCAATTTTGTATGGATGTGTTTTGGAAGCTGACACGGCACGGACCGATTGATTTTGAACATAACTTTTTTGAGGTTAGATTTTTCAATCCAAATTTAACTCGAACATCATTCAATTTTACACCAAGAAGATACTCTTGGTGAAACTCGATACTGTGTTCCGTTTTCGGAATATTTCGATTTTTTTATGTTCTGGTTCCCACGAAAAGAGATAATCTGAATTGTTCAGGGAACATCGTGAGAAACAAGGGAAATAAGGTAGGAATTGGTGTTTTTCTTAAATTTCTGGAGGTAATATGCCCCGGGGAACACCTCCCTTGGCAATGTGTTCCAGAGCCTCGCTGTTCGTTGGATGAACGAGTCTTTGGAAAGAGATGTTCTGCAGGTCTTCTAACTGACCACGAAGGGCTGCGAAGTCTCAACTCGACGTGTTAATCTCGCGGGGACTGCCAAGGGAGGAACAATTGTTGATATTTGTGAAGATGAAGTGATAACTGTTGCTGGTGTAAAGCTATGTATGAGAGTAGGTATTATAAAAAACTATCAACTTATTTATTGAAAACCGAAAACAACAATACATTACTAATTCTGAATTAATTGATTAAACAATGAATCACAAGACTAACATTGAAACAAATTCGACTGAAAACATGGATTACCTAGTTTCGTTGTAAGTTGCAAAACAGGATTGAACATCACCTGAATGACCTAACAGCTGATTCTCAACTGTTTACAAAAATAATACATGTTATGCAAAAAACAGAATCGTGTATTCGTGGAAACGGAGGACATTTTGAACATTTACTCTACCTGTGATTCTCTGTTCGATCAATAAATCTAGCACAAGAATAACGTTATTGTTTTTGAATCTGCATAAAACATCACCTGAATGACCTAACAGCTGATTCTCAACTGTTTACAAAAATAATACATGTTATGCAAAAAACAGAATCGTGTATTCGTGGAAACGGAGGACATTTTGAACATTTACTCTACCTGTGATTCTCTGTTCGATCAATAAATCTAGCACAAGAATAACGTTATTGTTTTTGAATCTGCATAAATAGGTAATTGATCTCAATAAAATTCATTTTATATCAGCATCAGCTATTTTTCCATTATTTTCAGCGAAACAGTATTGAGCTTTATCAAGGGTACCTTCTTGATGTTGAATTCAATGATGTTCAAGTTCACACCAAATTTGAATTGAAAAATCCAATTTATATAAAGTTATGTTCAAAACTACTCGGTACGAACCGAGTAACTAGCGCCTTTTATGAGAGTCAAATATAAAAACAAATTCATGCGATGTGTCAGCTTCCAAAACACATCCATACAAACTTTCATCACAATGTTGCCAGTAGTTTCGGTATAATCGTAAAAAATTTGTAAAAAACATATTTCAACACCATGTATCTTGAAAACATATGCCGTTGACATGTTTTTACTGAGCAAACCCAACTTATTTTGAAGTGTTCTTCCTACCCTAGCAAGGCGATCAGGTTTTTTTGAAACACCCTGTATTGATCAAAGTGCCGTTATCGATATTATTGTTATTTATTATGAAGACTTTCAGCCAGTGAAAAGTTTTTTTTTTGTAAAATAAATGGTGTTCCAACGCTTTCTATCAATCTTATTCATTGACATTAGTAATTTTCATAAATCTAAAATTCCTCCTCAATGATATACCTATGGAGCTAGAAGATACATAGAAATTGAATATTTTTCGATAATTGATTTCTACACATGTTTCTCTCTTTTCGAAAAATTCACAAAGGGAGGGGGTACTTTACAAACATGGTAAGTGTATGTCATAAGACTGTCTCACCCTGTATGGTGCCTTCATGTTTTCAGTGAAACTTGGATTGAAACAGAAATAGTACCTCTGAACTCATGAACATTGAGAAACTCTCGAAGTCATAGTTAATAAATATATTCTTTAAGCTGAGTATTACCTACAATTTACAAAATATGTGTTAAAATGGTAGTGAGTATTATAAAAACATTATTGAATATTGACTTCTTTAGGACAATATTTCGAAAAACATATAGGCTGATTTATAGATTAGCATAAAGGAAGCATTACGTAACTCTACAATAATAGAGCAAAGGTACCAAAATCCTCTCACATCTAGGAGGAAATCAACCTTTGCCCTCATGATGTATACCGAGTGACAAAGTATTCATTAGACAATCCATAGTTTCCAAAGTTCTGAAGGTATGATATTTAAACTTGGCAGGGATGTTGTTTTCAAGAATTGTGAATTTTATCGTTATTTCATACTCTTCAACACCTCCGGTTTCACCGAAAACAACTCCAACTTTTGATCTTCACCCTGTATTTTATTCCATAATCAGGTATTATCGCAACGAATTCGACAATACCGGGTATGATAAGATAATTTTAAACGATTACAAGATATTTGCGTTTGAAGTTTCCGTACGCTTGATGGGTGTGACGGCGTAGTATCGGAATAACTTCTTTCTTCGTCGAAATAGTCATGTTAATCCCTAACCGATGTATAATAAATTACAAGGTCGTTTCCGGTGAAATCAGAATTGATGGCAGAGTATGAAATATTGCAAAATTTGACTATCCTACACAGCTGCCAAATTTGAATCTCATACCTTCGGAACTCTGAAAACCATGACTTCTCTAATAAATTAGCTTAACCACGACTGTTGCATAAAATTTTTATAATACATGTGTACTTCCTCAAGCAAAACATTTTTCACACCAGTGAATAATAGCGGTGAATAATCATTATTTACTGGTCTAGAGTTCCTAAGGTACGCGATAAAACATCATGCGAGTGTTCTTTCCTCTTTTCAATCTTTTTTGTTTTTTTTAATTATATATTTCATGTTTAGTTTTCACCTAAAATAAATTGTATGCATGTGAAGTGAAAAAGTTATAATTGCATGTCAAATATGTTCCAATTCTATACTTATTATCGTATGTTAATTCACAATATGTGTTCTTCTACCATTAATATCCTGATTCAATATATTCCTGTGTGTGTCGTATTTAAATTATCATAGATTTAAATTATCGTGTATGTATATATAAATCTTTTTCTTCTTTCTTGGTGCAAGAGTAAGAATGGAGTTATCCAATCTTGTTACCCATTGGCAGACATTTCTATTGAAAATTGTATTGTCTTATATTTTACTTCTGTCAATAAATACATATTATTATTATTATTATTATTATTATTATTATTATTATTATTATATAAGAAACTTTAGACCAGTGAATAATGATTATTCACCGCTATTATCCAATGGTGTGAAAAATGGGTACCGTTTTGCTTGGGGAAGTACAACAGTCGTGAAAAAATAATTAATATAACAGGTATCTTCAATTCTTAGTTTTCTTAATGTCAAATGAGTTATGATGAAACAGTTGTTAAAAATATATTTGTATATAAAAAACAATAGTAGTCGTGGGCAAAGTATAGTATTCTTCTCGCATATAATGAGCTATTATTCACTCAGGTTTACTATGCCACTCGCTACGCTCGTGACATAAACTTAACCTTCGTGAATAATAGCCCTCATCATATGCTTGTTGAATAATATATTATATTACCCGGTATATGATTGCATTCACAAACTCATATTTTTTAGGAAGCATTATTCTTGAATAAATTGTGCTTCAGGCATCTTCCGATGCTAATAAATATGCGTTATGAAGGTATAGTGAGCCATGGCCAATGGGAAAGTTTCCTTCATTTGGTTTGTGAAAATTTAATATACAGGGTTAGTCACGTATACATATTTTTTCTTTTTCTCGTGATGATTTCAGTTAATAAAAAAACTGATTAAAGAGAAACTTGGTTCCTTCACCATCTCTATGGCGTACTTTATGAAAAGCCACATTCACACAGAGTTGAAATTCCATTCCCTGTGTCAATACGACGTTGCCGATATCATTAATGTGTCTACATTTCCGGAAATTGTTCTTTGAATAAATTATATACAGGGTGTTCCATCTCAGACGAGCCACCCCGTATATTTCTCATCACATAGTGAGTGGAAAAATTTCCTGAAACACGTCCAATGATTTTGTGTTGTGTGTTTGACGTATATTTTGGAGGACAATTTGAGCATTTGATTCAAACACGCAGATTTGATTTTAGTGATTGTAAGAATGATAAAACAATAAAATTTTTGAAGAATGTGATTATTTGAAGATTGCTTGAGTTTGTAAAAAGGGCTTGATACATTGTGGAAATAACCAGAATATTCAAGGTGGCTCATTCGAGCTACAAAATTGATTTTTGGCGAAAACGGTTCATCAAATTTACGTTTTTCATACACCGTTGTAAAGAGGCTTCCAAGACCTTTCGAATGAAGTATCACTCAACCCCTCTCTCCTATTCCAGTAATCATTCGACATATTTCGGGAAGTTTTTTCACTTACTACGGAATAAGAAATATACGGGGTGGCTCGTCTGAGATGGAACACCCTGTATATAGCAGAAATGGGATATAATTGGACTTTTTATCCTACTTTGTCGAGTTTTATGAATAATTGTTATAAATCTCTCATTTGCTGGATGAAGATGATTACTAATGAAGATAAATTATGATATTTTGCAGTAGTATCTATCATTTCTCACTTGTGTTGTTACAAAATGATAATCATTTCTTTATAAAGCGGATCTATTTTCTAGGAAAGTAGCAGAGTATATATCTTGCAACAGCGCATAATACTTGAGCCCTTCTTGCGTCCACACCACACAAAATACTGACAGGCACACCGCGGGAGCTGATCTGGTTTTGTATGTTTTTGTTTACCAGTTCAACTAGTCTTGATCTATGATCTCCAGTTACTCGTTAGCCTGTCTACAGTTTATAGTTGTTTTGTTAGTTCGTTATTTTTAATGATATAATCAATAACGTCTTCTTCTTCTATTTTTTTATTCGTTCTTCATTCGTTAGCTATTTGGTAGCTATTTTCTTCATCAGCTATATTCAGAGTGGATTCAGAAATTGCTTTATTTTGAAAATAAAACGACTTGGACTTTATCGATTGCCATTCTGTAGAGCGTGTACATAAAAGTGAGGAGTACTGAACTTATTTCATGAAAATTCATCTGAAGGAAACTTCCCCATTGACAGTAGATACTTGAACGAAAATCACTAATGTTATGTATATTGTGTAACTGCGTTTGAAGATTTTGATTGAATATGTTTGGAGTATGAGGAAATGTATGAGATCATTGAAAGGAAATTGCTATTAATTTCATAAGAGTAAGAAGGTCCCTGATTACTTGAATTGCTCGGATCTCATTGGTATATTGACGCCAAGGAAGCATATCAAAGCAAATATTCTTTTACCTTTCACGGAAGGTATTTTCTTACCTTCAGTGAGAGAAAATTGACAGCTTTGTTATCTTATATGAGGAAATAAACGTCTACTATCGATTCAGTGAATAGATAAAATCGCTTGAAAGGGCCTGTTGGCCAACTCTGTTTTTGTATTAACTAATGAGTCTGTAGTCTCGCATTGACATTTCTTCTTTTTTCTTACGAAAACAATCATAGATGGATAAAAATCAGATTATGACTTATAGTTCAGTCAATGAACGGGTTGTAGAGAACATGGAAGAAGATTTTTTTCATACTAGGGATAGATTAGATAGGAAGTAAGAATTCCAGAAGTCATCGCACCTACGAGGGGAGCCACGTGCAAGTGACGACATGAAAGTTCGTCACAGCAAAAAAGTCAATTTATTCAGAATTATAACTGACAAAATTGTATCAGTAGGTTTTTTCCGTATCTTTGATAATTGTTTTCGAGATGTTCGCTATCGTTTTTTGTATCTAGTTAATTTTGTCTTCGACGAAGAAGTAACAAAGAATTCATTTACCTTCAAAATGTTATGTCACATATGATTTTTTAAGTATATCTACATATATACCATGTGACACAGGGTACTGGGCCACCCCTCTGTATCTTTTGCATTTGTGAATGGATTTTTCTGAAATTCGGTACATTTATATGAGCAACCATTTTGGATTTGATCACATTACAATCCAATATGGCAGACTTCCCGTTTTTCTGGAAATACCAGCAACTTTGTTTTTCCAAATGGAACACCCATCCGTATATTTTTACCTATTTAAGCTCAAAAAACGTGCAATCTTCATGTCAAATGTCCTTTTTTTGAAACGAATTATATCAAAAACGTTTTTTATTTTTCCTCGTGAATAAATGACATAATATGCAATTCACAATGAGTCAGTCCCACATACTAGAGAAACATAATTTTCGAAAAAGAAATTTGTTTCTGTGTCACATATCAATGAATTATTCCAGTCACATCACATGTTGAGCAAAAATTCATTTTTTTTCAAATGGAACCCCTGTGGGCCACCTACAAGTCGCTCTAGGACATACATCAAGGGAAAAAATTACATATCATTTTTGTATTTCGGTGCAGTAACGAATTGTAATACATTCAAAAATCAACAACTAGTTTCATGAATTTCTTTGCAGTTCGAATAAATTTTCGAGTAAGCTGTGGAAAAGACCATTTCTGAATCTTGTCATGAAGATTGCACTTGTCTTGACCTGTTAAACTTGAATATGTATAAATATACAGGGTGTACCATTCAAAGAAACAAAGTTGCTGGCATATTCAGAAAAACCAGAAGTCCGCCATATTGAATTGTGATGTCATCAAATCCGAAATGGTTACTTACATAACTGTACCAAATTTTAGAAAAATCTGTTTACAAATGCAGAAGTTACAGGGGTGGCCCGATACCCAGGTATAGTGTGTATCACTTCTAATGGAATTCCAATGTTGCCAAGTTGAACTACCTCATTCACCGCATAAGGTCACTTTTATCATTTCTCAATATTATTGACAAGAAGGCAGTGATGCTTGTACTAAAATCAATCGAAAATAGAACCAATTTAGCTGTTCATTATTGATTGAATTTGTTCCTTAAACTTGGAAGTAGGTATTTTGAAGGATATGAAACTGAATGCTGAATTTTATTAATATCCTGCACTGTAATTCATTACAAAATGAAATTTCACTCACAATTTTTTAGTACTACGAATCTTCAGGTAGGCAGGTAGTATTGAGTTATCAGCATCTGTATTATTTGCTGAATTAAAAAAAATCAAGGAATAAATATCCGACTAATCATAGCTTTCTGTCCAAATTGGCATCATTGTCAAGTCCACTGTGCATTTTATTGGCTCCCGCGAGAAGGTCACGGCGTCACTAATCCAAATTACTCGCGCACTGACGTCACATCTTTCGCGGCCATGTCTGATCATTCGAATTTGCTCGATGAATTGATAAAAAATAAATCTCAAAAAATAATATTAAGGTATTTCAGAGCCATTTATTTCGAGATATATTTTTTTTTAAATGGCTGGAAAGGCCCATCATGTTACAACCATAATAATATGTCAGTTATATGCACATTCAAACTGAATGAGGATCAACATTATATATTGTTCACCTCATTTTGCCACTGAAACTTGAGGTCAAAGTTGGCAGAACTGATGAATATACTTCTTCTCTTCGTGTCATTTGGCCTCTCTCTACGATATCTTCTTCTTCGTCAATGTAGGAATTAGTCGTAGAGTTCCCCATTGAGAGTAAAAAACACAAGTCCGCTTAAGTCGTTCCATAATTTAAGAATTTCTATTTGTTCAAAAGGGCCACATAATTTTTTCCGAAAATTTTCGATTAAACAGGCCACAGCCAGACAAATTTTTGGGATTTTTTACTTTACCATTGACCTCACATTTTACTAGCGCCAACTTGTGAGACTAAAAATGTTAGCTCTTATCATTCACTCATTTGTGTTCTTGTCTATTACAGTGAAACTGAGTGCCGTTTGTCGAATACATCATCGTCTTTTGTCTGAGAAAATTAGGGTCCGAGAAGTTTTTTTACCCCTACTTTCAATAATTAACAGTTCAACGGTTTATGATCTGAGAGAAATAGAATCATTCTGACAGGGGTGCCATTTCACTCACATATTTGACCTTTGAAACTTTCGTAGCCAACCTGATTAATAGACTGTCCTCATTTGAGGACACCTTAGATGATGTTATTAAATAAAACTTTTTCTAGGGCTTATATTTACCTCAATTTACCTCAATTCGTTCATTTATCTAATCTATAAATCAGCCTCAAATATCAATAAAATTCGTTATCACTAGAATAGTTTGATTTGACATCGTTCAGACTGGATAAATCCGACACTGTCAAACTTAAAGCTAAATTAATCGTTTCTTTCGCTGTCGACTGTGACATCTGCAACTCTGAAAGAAAAAGAAAACAAAGTTTAAGTACAAAATTCATTTAATCGGTACGGTCAAATTATAGCACATGCAAATTCAGTTCTGGACTTTTTCTTTTTTATCGACCCGCGGTCACTATCAAAATCATCTCGATAGAATACGTGCCTATTCTCGTCACGTGACGAATCCACAGCTGGCTCAATAGAAATCATATCTAAATGAAACGATCCTAAAACTTTTTTCTCTCCAACTGTCGGTTCTTGTTTCCACTCCATTTTCTTCACGTAATTTCTCACGATCGCTTGCAAAACAGGGTCGTTTTTGTCTATCAAAAATTTCGAATTTTCGGCCATATTGGCGTTCCCTTTCTTGTAGTGTTGTTTCTTAACGCAACCCGTGGAAGAATCGCTATATTTTGATTGATTTTTCTGTAGTAATCCTGATTCTCTGGCGATTTTTTCTAGAGGAGTGTTCAAGAGTGCTTGACAAGCATCCGAGGATCCTGTTAGGCATTTTGAAACGAAGTTTTGAAATTCTATTCGTGTACTTCTACCTGTTGAGAGGGCCAAGGAGTGCTTATTGAAATTTGTTTTCAAAGTTGGCCATGATGCGGCTTTTCTCTGATGTTTGAAGATATGGAAAAGAAAAAGGCCGTAGGAAGTGATGATCCCATCGAACATTTTCTGTTGGGTTCAAAGTTGTAGCTTGAAGCTTGGATTTTTATCAATATTCAGTTGAATTTGCTTTGGGAATAATGTAAAATATAGTTGGAATATTTTTATACAGGGTGTCCCTGAATGGTTTGAACAAAATTATAACCTATATCTCACTTTGGCCTCAGGAGTCTATGGTATCATTTTGTACACAGTTCAAGAACACCCTGTATATCGATTTGCTGGACCTGTCAAATTCAATATATTTTGAAAAATTTCACGAAAAAATAGGTTTCTTGGAATTTTGTTTCAATTTTTTGGGTCTTTTGTCCAACAAGCAATATTTTTTTAATTTCTCTTGACCCAAAATTTTTTTGGACTCAAGCGGAATTCGAATACCTAAGAAAGAGCTTTTCAAATTTCGCATTGAGAAATTGTCGAAAACTCAACTTTCCCAAATTAATGGCACCAAGGGTAACTTGATGCAAACTGACGTATTTGTCATCTGAACAGGGTACGGATAGATGCTCGTCTCCTCTCACTCTAAAGTGCTCGTGAAACAGTTACATAGTTCCATCCTTCATCAATTTTGGGGATAAATACTAGATTTCTGACGTTTGTTGATTTTCAGGTTATATTGAGAACATTAGCGCATGAAATTCCTGATTCAACTCTACATATTATATCCAAATAATGGTTAATGATTTTGGAGTTTTTGATTTTTCAACTCCAGCATAATTTTTGTGAGGCAGTGAGCATATATTTTTCTGAAAGTTTAATATGTTTTACCAAATGGGACTGTTCTTAGGCTGTACCTACCTATAATAGTTATTTATTATACAAGGGAAAAAAGTAGTAGATTTTAGCTCCAGGTTGTGTGAGACAAAAAACCGTGAGCTAAAATCTAATATTTTTCCCGTGTATAATACACTATTTTTTTCTGTGACAGAAGGAAGAATGAATCAATATTGAGAAGATATTACATTATTTCGAAAACTGAAAATTGCCGACGTGAAATTTCAAGTTTTTAACAGTAGGGACACCTGCGTTTTATAGGCATCTTTATCATTCTTTTGAAGTAATCAAATATCTGATGTCACTTCTGTCAGTTCAATTCTGTGAATTGATTTCAAAAAATTGCGAATTCAGTTGTTGTTTAGTGATATACGAAACCGCGAAGTCGAATGGAAGATAAAAGGACTTGCAGTTCTTTCTCGGAGACGGTATTATTGACTCATTTTTCGGAACTATAGCACAACAAAAGCCATTAACAGAGTATATATATATGTGATATATATCCGGGAAAAAAGTACTAACTTTTTTTCCACGGGAAAAAAGTAATTTATGAAAAGTGACATTTTATAACCTGCCAACAGAGATGAAATGCCAAACTTTTTTCCCGTCACAGAAAAATAAATAAATTTTGATTTCAGAGTAAGCCTTATGGTTGAGAAATGGTGGAAAGTTTGATGTAGGTATTTAATCTAATGTGCTATGTCATGTGTGCTGTATATCTGCATAATATTCATGTTGGATTATAATATCATTTTTATAGTTTTCTACGAACACTTAATATTTTATGAATTTAGGTATAATTTTTCATATCGTAGGGCACATGCCTCTTCTTTTAATCCTCCGTTTCAATCAGAACCGTTTCTACTAAAATGCATTCAAAAACTTGTGGAGTGGATAATTAGGTAGAATGAGAATGTGTAATATGTGATTTCGTATTATTTTACCTCGCATAATTATCTGATGTATTCACCGATTTTCCCAATTCGGTCTCTTCACATTCCATATCCTAAATTCATTTGCATTTGTTGAAAAATTGAAAAAATTGAAATTTGCCATCCAAATGATTGATTCAGTCTAACGCAGCACATTTTACCATTCGAAAACAAAATTGAATGAGGTCGTATTGAGATTAAGTACTAATTGAAATTTCGAAAGATTTATTTCAACGCCTACGAATTTGACGTGACAGCAATGTCATAACAGGGACGCCAATACACAAAACCAAAGTCACTAGATCATCAAAAGAGAAAGGAGCTATGATCTGTCGGTACCCTGTTAAGATGACGTCAATTTACGTCAAGAGACCCCAATGGCACCTACTTTTTTTTACACCATACTATGTAAGGAAATTGAATGTGAGGATGAGTTACTTTTTTCTTATCGCTTGGTGCGCCCGAAAGGGAATCCCTATAATGTTCGAAGAACATCGTGCGGACACCTAGGGAGGATAGGGAGAGGCAATGAATTTCAGAGCTTTTCCGTTCTATAGATGAACGAGTTTTGATATAGTGCCGTTCGAAATATTTCGAGGTTGACAACGAAACGATATGCTGACTGCGCTTGTCGAGTTCGTCTGGCTGGTATTGCTAGTCGTGGAATAATAGCAGGGATTTGATTGATTGATTGATTGATTGTCTTTATTACCCCAAGAAACATTTCTGTTTATGATAGGGATACATAAATACATATAAAAAAAAATAATAATAAAGGGTTAACTATAATGAATTCCACTCAGTGGAAACGAATTAATATTGTGTCTTATAAGATTAAAGTTATATTTCATTCCTAAGTAATCAAATCATGCCACATATTTTTCTTTCAAATTGTCCTGAGCAAGTATTTTTTAAGATTGATTTTAAACCTTCTTGCATCATGTATATTTTTTAACTCATTCGGTAATGAATTGTATAAAATTATTCCATTGTGAAAAACAGATTGTTTGCCAATGTTTGACTTGAATGTATTTGCAATCAAGTAATTCAATTGTCTAGTCCCATAATTATGGACTGTATTGACTTCATTGAAAGCTAAATTTGATATTTTCAACTTATTCCTGGCAAAATGAATAAAGCAACATATTTTAAGTTTATATAACGAAATCAGGTTCAGAAAATGTCTTGGTTTGTATAAATTTATCGTTGGTTCTAGAAAATGTAGATGAAAAATGCACTTAATTGATTTGTTTTGTAATTTCATTAGAGGTTTCAAACGTGAAATATTTGTACTCCCCCAAATAGAAATTAAATATTGCAAATTTGAATAAATGAGGCAAAAGTAAATACATTTCAAGTATTTTATGGGAATAATATTTCGGATTTTGAATAAAATGCCTATGATCGGATTTATTTTATTTCTCAAATAGTCTATATGTTTAGTCCATAATAATTTTTCGTCGATATAGAGACCTAAAAATTTTGTCACGTCTGTATATTTAATTAATCTATTGTTGAAGGTTATAGCATTATTCGAAATATTAACTGATCTTTTAGAAATATACATATATGAAGATTTGTTATAATTAAGAGTCAACTTATGAATTTGCATCCAAGATGATATGTTTTCCGTGGAAGTATCTATGAAAATGTGGAAGGTCGCCGACTCTTCTACGGTGCTCCAATGATGTCAAAGTGTAAGTGAGTGTGGCATTACCCACCAGGCGAATGGCTCTTCTCTGAATGGAATCTAAGAGCATCAGAGTATGTTTGAGTGCTGAACCCCATATGTGAAAACAGTATTCTAGAACAGACCGTATCTGTGCTTTGTAAATCATCGGGGGCTGTTGAGGTTTGAACTAGCATTTCGCACGGAACAAAAGTCCGAGTTTTTGTGAAGCAACTTTCGCGATGGATCTGACATGTTTATCGCATGAAAGAGTATTGCTGATGGAGACACCGAGCATAGATGTAGTTGACTTAGTGAGAATGTTGGTATCAGACATTGTTATATCAGGCATACTGAGTTCCGCCTTTCTAGAGAAAATACAGGCTTGAGTTTTCGCGGCCTAGAATTCAACTAGGTTGTTGGTTCCCCAGGCTGTGATCTTCATTGACAGCAATCATCTGCCTTCGCAGTCCGAGTTCTTAGTTTCCTGGGAAGAAGTGGGAATTCTGGAAGAGAACGTAGTATGGAGAGTACTACCAACTGCAAAACTGTGGATAGGGCAAGTTGTTACTCCCAACAGATCATCGATATGAAGTAGAAATAATATTGGTGCCAAAATTGATCCTTCTGGAACGCCGGAATTGATGGCAATGGTATCAGACGATACACCGTCCACCACCACGTGATCTGCCTGAAAGAATACTCGATAAAAGATGGCGTAGCTGAGGTAGAAAACCGTATGATGGTAGTTTGTGAAGGAGTCCTTGGTGCCAAACACGGTCAAATGCTTTCGATATGTCTAACGCCACATCAAGAGATTCCCCATGTTTTTCTAATGAATCTTGCCATATATGGTGACGTAGGAAAAAGATCTCCAGTTGATCTTGGGTGGCGAAAGCCATATTGTCTATCATTGATGATTCCAGAGCTTTCCAGATATTTGATAAGCTCACTTAAGCATTCCCTATGATC